GGACTTTCACAGAGAGAAGTACAAGCAGCAAATAAGGGAAAAGGATCGTGTTAAAAGCAAGGTGAGTTCCTGATACGAAATACAAAGTCTTAATCATGCCACAAAAATTGCATGGTGGATGACAAGATTCCCATACATGTTAGGATGTTAGGATTTAGGGAGGTTTTATTATACTTTTCTAGTTTAGAGTATTATTTTTAAGGTTTTAAGTTACGATTAGTTAGTGGTCATTATGGTATCGATGGACATGAGAGTTACAACCTCTCAATTGACCATAGGTTACTTTAAGATTTATTTTCAAGGGTATAAATAGTCAACTATGAGAATTTTGGATATTAAAATGAAAGTTGCATATTATGCTTCTTTTAAGCCATGAGGTTGTTCCTTTGCATTTCTTGTGTTAAGATTTGCATTCTAGAGTCATTCAAGTAGTCTTGATCAAGCTATCTTGTAGAATGATTTGAATCACGAGTTTTCTTTACTCTTGATCTTGATCATCAAGGTAATCCGTTCCAAAACCTTCCCTTGGACTGATTCTTTATCATTTTTGGATTTCTTTGATAATTTAATCTAAAAGGTCTTGTTGCTCAACAAGGTTATTAGATCAAATCCCAAGAGCTTCATAAAAGTTCCTTAAAAGTTCCAAGGCAATGTACATATGGGTTAGTGTCTTTTAGACAGTGATAATGCCTTTGGTCGGGATATTGTATTGAAATCAAGAATTTATTGTTTAACTGATAATGCCTTTGGTCGGGATATTGTATTGAAATGAAGAATTTATTGTTTAACTTTTGCTACTTGATCCCATGTCAGTGCTGAACCGTATTTTATCATAAAATTATGTCAAATTGGTTTTGTATTCCTCTTCATTTTGATAATGAATGAAGTGGGTATAATACAGCCACAAACTTGGATGATTGTAAACATCTAACATGTTTGTACTTCCTTCATGATTGCATAAATAAAACGAACAATCAAGTTGTTTGTCTGAGCTTCATTATGATTGGGCATTTTAATATTATTCCACGAATAACCGTTTTAAAATTGTGCCAGTTTTAGTTAATCTTTTTCCCAAAAGGAAAACCTGTTAGTATTTCAGGTCTTGAGAAATGACTCGTAAAATTTATATTAGGAAAAGTGTTGCATGTGTTGTGAAACAGATTCATATTCTTGCAGGCTGAAGTGGGTTTAAGAAAGGGAGATCACAAAGAAGTCCGCTTCACTGGGAAAACTGTGAGTAATTTATTTTTTAATGTTCAGACCTTTTGCTGCCATGAATATAACTTGAAGACTCTCTGATGGTGATATGATTGAATGCCTTGTGGATGGAACATAATTTTCTATTCTAGCCTCAACAGGAAAGTAAAATTGCGTACAAAAGTCCTACTATGACCATGAATACTGTGTTTTAAGCCATGGCTTATACTCTAGTACTGTACCATCCTTTCTTAAAAATGATTTCATTATAGTTTAAGATTAATGTTCTTCAAGTATTGTGAATTCATCTTCAGCAATTTGGTCCTCGCTTCTATAGGTCTATATGGAAATCAAATACCTAAAAACGTTAAACTACTTAATTAAGAAACCTCTATGGTGTTCGACCTAGTTCGTGGATGGAAACATTGAAAAGTCAAATGTGGATATCACCATTAACCTATTTGTTTATAAAAAAAATAGTTTCATTTTTTTCATTCAAAATATGAACTGCAGGCGAAGATTTTTCTGCATTTAATAATTTCCTTCAATTATTGTTACTACCTACAACATTGACATTAATTTTGGTATGTTGTCCATACCCAAAGAATTGTGAAGGATTCGGTTCCTATCACACTACGACACCATTTTGTTGTAGTATGTACGAGGTTAACACTAGAGTTGAGACAATTTCTTTTCCGCTAAAAGAATCCTTGAGCTCCGAACCGACTTTTGACCATTATGAGAGCTTAGAACAAAACTCTTAATATTTGATGCTAAAAATTATTTATTTATTTATTTGTATTGTCATCAGGAAGAGAAGGACCTAAGGATGAAAGCTGATATGGTAAAGCGATTGATGGAACAAGGTTACCGTGTGAAGGTATTATTTTTCCATTTTACAAAATGATTCATAATTTCTGTTCTTTTTAGTTTCTTATTTCTTTTCAGAGGTGTGTTTTTCAATACAAGATCTTCACAAATATGTTCTAAACACTAACTGTTCATTGTTCAATAATATCTTACTTTTTTGTTCACTGAACAGTGTAGTGCCAGGGGCGGTGAGGATCAGGACTTGGGTGGCTTGTTATCTCGTCTCTCTGCTTTGGTATTGCCTCATGAAACACTTCATTCTCTCTTGACAATACCAGTTCATCAATTTCTATTGTCTTATCCTTCCCACCGCATATAATGAACAATCTTTTTGCAGATAGAGGATGTGGCAATGGTGGAAAGTGGACCACGAGTGGAAAGAGGACAGGCATATGTTATAGTCAGGCATGTTAAATTTGGCCCCTCAAAGAAAGGGGGCGGTGGAAAAGCATCAAAAGTTGCTGTGAGTGCAAGACAGGAGGTTATAAATGGCACCACCCCTCTGGTTCCGGCGGCCCGCTCTTCAACCCCTGATGAAGAAGAAAAAGGTCCTGAAGAACCAGATTCTGAAGCAACGTGGTCAGTTGTTGATGGTAATAATGATTTTGATGAAGTTTTTGACTTGAAAGATGATGCCAATGGGATTCCCTTAGAAACCACTGCCAATAAAATGAATGTAGCTTCAGACAGGGATGCTAATGTCTCAGACCTTTCACCACCGACGCGGTTGCCTGATACGAGTAGAACCAGCTCCGTTCCACTCTCTCGACAAGATTCTTCCACCAAAGCCGATAACAGATACAAAAAGATCGAACCTGCAAACCGGTTCCAACCACCAAATGTAACGGATAACAAGGGCCGAGGTGCTAGAGACTCACTCCGATCAGATCCCCAGATTCGCAATCAGAGAAGGCAACCACTTATGAAAGAAACCAGGCTAGATGACAACAATTCTTCTGCATCAAGAAACATTAAGCATCCCTCAAATGAGACATCCAAGTCTGGTCCATCACATCATACCGATCCTGGTCCATCCAAAACTAGCTTTGGGATCTTCAGCTCTCTAAATGCCAATGCTCCAGGAAAGCAAGATGCAGCATCCACAAGTTATCGAGGCAATCGAGGGCTTCCATACCCTCCATCGACTAATCCGAACGTGCCTGGAGCTTCAGAAAGTTTGAAGTTTTCATTAACAAAATCTGACGACAATGTGAACAAGGGATCGAAAAGCTGGGGAATTTTCAGTGAGGGTCCTAATAATTCCCCAAACAGGATATCAAAACCTAACTGAGGTGAAGGTAGAACATGTTTACAGTGATTGTTTCAGTATTATATGGAAGGCTGAATTTTGATGAGGATATTTATTTGGACATGGAACATAGCAGAGATTCTTCTTCAAATAGTTACTACTCGCCGTGCTGTTGTGCACGTTGCAAGTTTTATAGTGATTTTGAGTAATAAGAATATTGTCCACTTGAACATTTTTAATGGTCAAAGATCAAAGAGCAACGTCTCGATATTTTAGGTAGATATCAACATTGTAATAAGCGAGCGCTTTCATTGGACAAAACTCAAAGTTCACAACATTGAGACGCTCGAGGCAAATGTGAAGATGCTCCACGCAGCATCACAACACTTGAGACAGAAATCAACATTATGAAACGCGATGCCATTTTCATTTGATGAAATCTAAAGTTTAAGGCATTGAAACGTTCCAGACAACTCATGCAGTTCATGAGGTTTGAAGGGCTCCTCTCGTAGACTCCAAGACGTTCTTGTGCTTGAAAGGTTATTCAAATCATTAGCTAAAGATGCCATTTAGACCTTTAGAGAACCAACCTCATCATTCCTACAAGTCTTTTGTATTATTGAGAATGGCTCTTACGAGCTCACCTGATTCTCATCCATGCTAATTTTTAGTATCATGCATGACATTACAACTCTTCATTAAAATTTGAGTACATTTCAAATCATTCTCCTTAGGAAAGCAACTATCGTCATGCATTTAAGACATGTTCTAAATTATATCTCGCACATGTGAATGTAGACCAACATAAACTATTGACATATGATCACAAACTTCAAGGCATTAAGAATTAAATACATTAATATAGGCAGTGTCTCGACGCCTCAAACAAAAATCCCCATTACGAGATGCATACATGCTTTTGTCTAATGGAACCCAAAATTCGTAGCGTTGAGACAACCAAAACAACGTCTCAGGTGAAATATGAGATAATAATTTTGTTCGTGAATTATATTTGAAAAGGTTTTGTTTGTGAACCAACCAAACTTTATCCTTTACAATTTTTAAAATATACCTCGGTTAACTTAACCTAGTTTAAAATAAAAATATTATTTTTTTTTATTAAATTCTTAGAAAAATGTTAACTTGCCTTGTAAATTATAAACTTCCTTTCAATATTAGAACTCCCCAAGAAAAGCACCTTTCATTCCCTTGCTTCAAATCCAAACTTACATATAACTATGTTTAAATTTATTTTTTTTAAAATTTATCTCTATTTACACTTTATATATTTTATTATTAAATACTAATAAATAAATAAAAATATGTTTTTATAATAAATTTTCTACTAATTACTTAGTTTAGAATTTAATTAAAATTTTTGTACGATGATTAATTTCAAACATACACAATACTTTTTTTTAAAAAAAATTCAATTTTACGCCAATTATATATATATTAATTAGTAAAAATTATTATTAAAAGTTTTGAAACTAAAATATTAATAGAAAAAAAGTTGGGTTTAAATATATATCCAAATAAATAAATAATAAAATTGGTATAATATAATAAATATATTTTTTAAGTTAAAAAATAATTATTTTTGCAACGGGGCTTGGTCCTAATTTTGAACGGCGGTAATGGATCACGATTACCATACCCATCAACGGACACAAATATATAAGAAGAAGGCCCCCAGGTTTTTATTTATTCCCATAACCAACCCCCATATTATAGGTATTTACAAACCCACCCCCACGGTAACTCTCTTACCAGCTCCTCCTTCTAATTCTTTCATAATATATTATATTCTCTGGTTCGAAAACGGAGTTCGCAGGAACCTCCGTTCAAAATCAAAGGCCTCCTTTTCTTCATCGCATCCTCTTCTTTCCCTCCAAGTGACGGCGATTTTCAGATTGCCTTTCTCTTTGCAGCTCATTTTTGTCTGCCTCCGAGCAGCCTCAGGTTCTCATTTCATTAGCTCGTTTGTTTTGGTTACTTGATTGGATTGAGCTTTTGGATGGAATATTTTTTCTTTATTGTTTGGATTACTGGTGGGATGTTTGAGTTTAGCTCGAGGGATTGATCTGCGAAGGTCTCGAATCGTGGTCTTCAGCTTCTTTAGTTAGTTCGTTAGTTTGTTTGTTCTTTTTTTCATTTCGATTAATGGTTTTGCTGGTAATTATGGCCTGCTCTGAGCATTTGAATGCGAGAACGGGAGAGGTGTAAATGGTTTTAGCCATTATTTCTTCTTCTTCTTGCGTTTGATTCAAGTAACTTGATGATTTTAACGAAGACGTCCATTGGATGCCTTCTTAATTCTGTCGTCTTGCTAAGCATATTAGCAAATGAACCCAGAATTTTTCATTTCTGTTTGTGTTGGTCAATCGTCTTTCCTGGGTTTTTGGGTTTTTTTTGAATTTTAGATCTGAAAATCTATAATGGAGATGGTTGAGATATACTACTGGAAACATATTTGATGACTGCTCTAAGTAGCAACAAAAAGCTTCTTGCAAAAATATGTCAACCTCCTGATTCTTTATTCAAATATGCTATAAATGTCCACTTCTTTCTGCTCTGTTCATTCTGCAACTTTTCCCTATTTGTTGAAAATATGAAGGAAAAAGGAGCAGTGAGCTTATTTGACTTTATTGTTGCTTAGAGTAAAATTACAGCGACTGGTTTGTTCATACTTACAGACTAATGGGCCATGGATTTTGTTTGTTCACTTTCTTGGCTGGCTAGATAGGCATCTAGGAAGCTTGAATTCTCTTATTACATGCAGAGTTGGGAATCCAACATGGACATCTTTGGTATATGATTTTGAAGTTTTAATTTATTTAAATGTTGCACGCGGTGAGGATGCCCAAAGGATTCATTGGGGACCCTGGGCGCGTTAGGGAGGTGCATCTGGTTTAGTACAATAATATATATAATAAAAGAAAAAAATGTTGTTCTGTTTTGGTTCTTATATTTGACCTTTGACAAATGTACTTTACAGGACTGAAATGAATATTATCCCAATGTACTTGAGTTACATATGTAAGTCATTTCTGTACTCATCCTTCTTCCTTCTTTCTTTCCAGATGGGGCAACAGGATTCTGTGGACAAGGAGTCTCTTACGGATACTTGCGATAGTTACATGAATAGGGATGGTGTTTCTACAAGTGGAAATATTCACATGCCAACTATAAATAATGATGAAGCTAGAAGAATGAATGAGAATAAAAGCGATAAACATAATGTTCCACATGTATATAGACGAGATATTGTAAAAAGCAAAGGCAGTGGTATGATAGGGATTGTGACTGAAGTTGCTGGTGATGCTGATTCAGATACTGACATTACTGATGATGAAGATGACTATGATGATGGTGAGGATGGTCTTGATGATGATGGTTGTGATGATTATGGGGAGAACGAAGGTCAAAACAAGGAAAACTATGACGATGACACTAATGCTAAAAATTCAAACAGAGATAGTTATAAGAATCAACCCCTTACTGCTGATGAAGTTCGAGTCCTCTGGATGGATGAAAGTGAGACTACTCAGAATGTTAATGATTTAACAGTTATAGATAGGGGTTTTTTACATGGTGATTTTGTTGCTGCTGTTTCCAATCCTACAGGGCAAGCAGGTGTTGTGGTAGATGTAAATATCTCTGTTGACTTGTTAGTTCCTGATGGATCAGTTGTGAAAAATATATCATCTAAGGACTTGATACGTGTGAGAGATTTCACGGTGGGGGATTATGTGGTCCTTGGTCCGTGGTTGGGTAGAATTGATGATATCTTGGATAATGTGACTGTGATGTTTGATGATGGCTCCAAGTGTAAAGTCACAAAGGCAGAGCCATCGCGGCTCAAACCAGTTTCTAAGAATATCCTTGAAGATGCAAGCTTTCCTTACTATCCTGGCCAGCGGGTGAGGGCGAGTTCTTCAACAGTTTTTAAGAATTCTAAATGGCTTTCTGGTTTATGGAAACCTAATCGATTGCAAGGTACTGTCACTAAAGTTACAGTTGGATCAGTGTTCATTTATTGGATAGCATCTGCTGGATATGGACCAGATTCTTCTACCACCCCAGCTGAAGAACAGAGTCCAAAGAACTTGAGACTATTAACTTGTTTTTCACATGTGAATTGGCAATTGGGTGACTGGTGTCTTCTTCCCTCCTCATTCTCCTCTGGCTCGACTAAGGACTCATCACAAACAGAACTTTCTGATTCAGTGACCAATACGTTAGATTACGCACAAACAGTGGGAGCATGCGATTCAGAGGATACTGTGCTAGATGAATTAAATGGGAGAACTGAATCCACTGATCTTGACTCCATTAGTGCATGTAATGGAAATTATAGGGATCCAGAATGTCATATTTTGCCGGAATCTAGTAGTTCTAGAGCAACAAAGGAGAATACCCATGAGACTTGGCCTCTACATCGCAAAAAAATTCGTAAAGTTGTCATCAGGAGAGATAAGAAGGCTAGAAAGAAAGATGACAATTTTGAGAGGGCCCTTTTAATCATCAATACTTCGACAAAAGTTGATGTTGTATGGCAGGATGGCCGGACAGAACTTGCGCTGGATTCAACTGGCTTGATTCCAATTAATCCAGGTGATCATGAATTTGTTCCAGAACAGTATGTGGTTGAGAAGGCCTCTGATAATGATGATGATGTTACAGAAAGCAGGCGAGTTGGAGTTGTGAAAAGTGTTCATGCAAATGAGCGAACAGCCTGTGTAAGGTGGTTAAAACCAGTCTCCAGGGCAGAGGATCCTCGAGAATTTGACATAGAAGAAGTTGTTAGTGTGTATGAGCTAGAAGGGCATCCAGATTATGACTACTGTTATGGTGATGTTGTTGTTCGTTTGTCACCTGTTTCTGATTCTATAGAAGCTCTGTCTTCTGAAAACAATACTGAAGAATTAAATCATCAAAGTTCAACCAATGGGGTGATGAGTTGTACAGAAAAGGTTTCAGGAAGCCTGAAAATAGAATATCCATCAAGTAGTGATGATTTCTTTGACTTCTCAGATCTCTCTTGGGTTGGAAATATAACGAATCTTAAGAATGGTGATATTGAAGTTTTTTGGGCCAATGGCATGGTTTCAACGGTATTTTTCATTTCCTAATTCTTTTGAAAATGATACTTGGTTGCAAACGTAAAAAACAAGACCAAATGGTTTATGATCTTCTTCTAACAGGAAGAGTGCATTATCATTGTAATTAAACAAATTTATTATAAGGGCAGGTTAGGGAGATGTTTTTCCTGTATTTTCGTAGGAATTGATTGTTATTTTTATGTTTGGTATCTGCTTATTTATTGGCTTTTAAATTAGTTGATCTTGAAATATTAAAAATGTTACTTTTTTTTTTTTTGTCTTGATAGTCTATAATCTAACATTCATATGTGGTAACTGATTTAATTTTTAATGGTTTTCACTTTTCTCACGAGTTTAGAAACTCAAATGCTGAAGTGTTTATTATTTCGCTAAGGTTGGCCCTCAAGCAATTTATGTTGTTGGTCGAGATGATGATGATGAATCAATTGGTGCTGGAAGTGAAATAAGTAACGGTGCTGCAAGTTGGGAAACAATTGATGATGATGATGATGATGATGAAATGGATGTTGAGAACGCCAAGGAGGTAATATTCTTTTGGTACACTAAAGTTAGCATATTCTTTTGAATGGTTCTGATGTTGAGGATTGTTGGGAGATGAGTCTCATATTGGCTAATTAATGGGAATATCTTGAGTTTCTAAGTAAGGAATACTATCTCCATTGGTATGAGGCCTTTTGGGGAAACCAAAAGCAAAACCATGAGAGCTTATGCTCAAAGTGGACAATATTATTACTGTTGTGGAGGGTCGTGGTTCCTAACATGGCATTAGAGCCGTGCCCTCAACTTAGCTATGTCAATAGAATCCTCAAGTGTTGAACAAAGAAGTTGTGAACCTCGAAGGTGTAGTCAAAAAGTGACTCAAGTGTCGAACAAAGGTTGTACTTTGTTCAAGAGCTCCAAAGAAGGAGTCAAGCCTCGATTAAGGAGAGGTTGTCTGAGGGCTCCATAGGTCTTAGGGGAGGCTCTATGGTGTACTTTTTTCGAGGGGAGAATTGTTGAGAATTGTTGGGCTGATTCTCATATTGGCTAATTAAGGGAAGATCATGAGTTTATAAGTAAGGAATGCTATCTCTATTGGTATGAAGCCTTTTGGGAAAACCAAAAGTAAAATCATGAGAGCTTATACTCGAAGTGGACAATATCATACCATTGTGGAGGGTTGTGGTTCCTAACATCTAATAATATAATCTCTAGATTTTCTGTCAAAGAAACTAAAGAATAAAACTAGAAGTAACATGTAATTATGAGGGCCGGTATGGACTTACCTTTGTTTTAATCATGCATATTAGATGTAAAAGGTCAGTCTGAATTCCTGTCTCTTTACTTGTAATCTTCTTTAAATTATGGGTTTCAAAATTTATTTTGATAGACTCTCAGTCTTTCACTCACTCTCAATAATATCATTTTTTTTTTTTCAGTTTCTGCTTGCAAGGTTTTGGCAAAAATTTCATATCATTTTTTATTAGTGACCCTCCATATGTTATGCCCTCTTGTGCTGATTTTTTGAAAGTTCGGCAGTTCTTATGAATTGAAATCTGATGTCATTTTGCCCTTCCATTGTTCATTTATTTGTCTTTGCTTGTAACGTTGTTATCTACAGTTTTAAGAATAATTACACCTGATATGTATTAAGGCATCGCGAATAATGACCCACGTCAATGTCTCTAGGATATTGAGCTGCAAGATACTGGAGTGGATTCTGAAGAGGAAGAGAGTGAACAGCATAATTCAGGAAGAAGTCTAGCTCTTTCTGTTCCACTTGCTGCGTTTCGATTTGTTACCAGATTGGCTACTGGAATATTCTCACGAGGACCAAGAAATCGAGAATCAATGGATTTGGATTCCCACAGTGAAAGTGACACTCAATCCTTGGAAATTCAAGCTTTGGAGGAAATAGATTCTGGGCTTCAGTCTAGCTCTCTTAAATCCAATTCTTTTACTGCTTCTGATATGAACTCTGACTGTGGAAGAGGAGAGGACGATGATGCCTCAGAGCCATCAAAAGTGTTAGTATCAGCAGAAGCTTCAAGCAACCTGAGGACTGCTCAATCAGATGGGTCAACATGCCATGAGGATGGCACCTGCAGCTTCAAGGGCTTTGATATCGCTAAAGATCCTTTGGACCATTATTTTCTTGGTACGAATGGTCAAGTAAGTAATTTACAAAATTCTCCAAACCTTGTTATATTTGTGAAGTTTCGATACCACTTTGATGCTCTAAGAATACTTCTGTGCACGGTTCTTGTTTTAGGGTTGCACGGCTCTTGTTTTAGGGTCTTGTTCTTCATGTTCATCAATACTTTTGGGTTTCGGGTTGTCCAGATTGGTTTACACGTTCTTACTTGAAAGATTCTCGCACAAGTCTGAATGGTTGAACTTGTTGAATGCAGACTATTAACGGAAGGAAATGGCTTAAGAAAATCCAGCAAGATTGGACTATCCTCCAGAATAATCTTCCAGGTAAACAATGCCCATCTTTGCTTCATTGTGTCGCGTCTCGTGAGATTGACATTCATGTATCTGTTAGCTGAGCCACGAATGAATTCTGTAACAGATGGGATATACGTTCAAGTCTATGAGGATCGAATGGACCTTTTAAGAGCCGTCATTGTTGGGGCCTATGGAACCCCTTACCAAGATGGCCTTTTCTTCTTCGATTTTCACCTCCCACCAGATTATCCCGACGTTCCTCCTGTGAGTCATAGCATTAAGTCACTTCTATAATCTGGTTTGTCTTATATGGTAACTTAATGATGGGATTTGTTATGATGCAGTCAGCATATTATCATTCAGGTGGGTGGCGGATAAATCCCAATCTTTATGAGGAAGGCAAAGTGTGCCTTAGCCTTTTAAATACTTGGACTGGCAGAGGAAATGAAGTGTGGGATCCAAAGTCCTCTAGCATCCTTCAAGTGTTGGTATCGCTCCAGGGGTTAGTGTTGAATTCTAAACCATATTTTAATGAAGCGGGATATGACAAACAAATTGGGACAGCAGAAGGAGAGAAGAATTCCTTGTCGTACAATGAAAACACCTTCTTGTTGAACTGCAAGACAATAATGTATCTTATGAGGAAGCCTCCCAAGGTGGGTATTACTGTTTATTTTCATTTGAATATCTTTGTTGAGAACTTTTTCTGCACCACACAATCTTCAAACGTCATATGCTGAAAGGAGGATGGTGAGATCCGACATCGATTGGAGGGAGGAACAAGTGTCAGCGAGGATGCTGGGCCCCGAAGGTGGGTGGATTATGAGATCACACATTAGTTGGAGAGGAGAATGAAACCTTCTTTATAAGGGTGTGGAAACCTTTCCCTAGCAGATGCGTTTGAAAAACTTTGAGGGAAAGGGTGTGGATACCTTTCCTTAGTAGATGCGTTTGAAAAACTTTGAGGGGAAGCCCAAAGAGGACAATATCTGTTAGCGGTGGGCTTGAGCTATTATAGATGATATCATAGCCAGACATTGGGCGGTGTGCCAGTGAGGACGCTGGGCTACGAAGGTGGGTGGATTGTGAGATCCCACGTCGGTTGGGGAGGAGAACGAAACATTCTTTATAAGGGTGTGGAAACTTTCCTCAAGCAGACTTGTTTTAAAAATCTTGAAGGGGAGCCCGAAAGGGAAATTCCAAAGAAAACAATATCGGCTAGCGGTGGGCGTAGGCTATTACGGTGTTTCTTTTTTCTTTTTCCTCTTTAATGGACAACCATGGGTTTGAAGAACTTGTGATTGGTCGGTGGATTTCATAACTTGAGTGAATTTATGTATGCTGTACACAGAAAGTTCATGATGCAATGACTGCTAGTGATATATTAGCTATAAATATTATGTTTGACCAATTGATTTTGTTCATGAATAGGACTTTGAAGAACTCGTTAAAGAACATTTCAGGAAGCGTGGATATTACATCCTGAAGGCCTGTGATGCATACATGAAAGGTCACTTAATTGGCTCTCTCACAGAAGATGCCTCTATAAGAGAAGAAAGCGATCCCAACTCCACGTCAGTCGGGTTTAAGCTTATGCTCGCTAAGATTGTTCCGAAGCTGTTCTCGTCGTTGAACGAAGTCAGAGCTGATTGTCGTGATTTTAAGCATTTTCAACAGTTGTAGCATTACGAAAAACTCCAGATGACAAGGTTGTCATCATTTACACATAGCTGACAAGGTAATCTTTTTCTTTTCTTTTCTTCTATTCATTCCCATTCATGTTAAAGCCTTCTTGTCTTTACCCATTATGATCAATGATGCACCTTGTTTATAAGTTTTGAACTGGGGGCCTCATGAACTTCAAAAGCTTCCTAGAATTCTAGGATCTGGGTTTTTTGTGACAATTCTTTGGTCTGTGATCCATTTTTTTCCTTAGAAAAAACGAAGGAAAGTCAAATTACATTGCAAGTTAGGAGTTCGTTGGTCTTGTTCTGTCGTAGGTTGTTTGTCCTAAAATGGACTTTTTTTTATCATGATTTTTATTTTGTTGTACTTGCATTTGAGTATTGCTCAAAGAAAGTAAAAGAAGTATAATATGTTGTATTGTCTTACTATTGTATTTTCTGTTTGTATAACTATTCGGTAAAATTATGTCTAAGCCTGTCAGACTTAAATTGTTTCAAAATGTACTATAGGGGATGATATCAGTCGTCAACTCCTCCCGCCTAAGATTTGTATGACCGTTTGGCAAAATCATGTCTAAGTCTGCTAGACTTAAATCGCTTTAAAATGTACTATGTACTATAAGGAGATGCTGACTAGTTGTCAATTTTTCATACTCGAGTTATATTTATATGATATTTAAGTTGTGGTATTTCTTTATATACTTAGCATTTAACAACTTTCAAACCTTCTTTCAACCTTCAAACTCTCTTTCAAAAATCTCTCTCATCGTTTTCTAAAACCTTCCTCTCGAAACAGGGCTAGAGGCTTGAGCATATGTTGCTTGGCCGCAGGTGACGTGAATCCAAATTGGCTTGATTCACTCGGTGTTGAGTGAATGACACACAATCGCAAAAGTCTTACCGTCAAGAATAGTGTAATTGTCAAGAATAGTGTGATTGTGACACTGAGCATTTCGAGTTATAAAAAAAGTTTGAAGTTTTGGGCTTTTAGCTTTCATTCGTCCTTTGTCGGGTGGTGTTTGTGTGTGGGGTGTGCTATCATATGACTCCGAAAAAAAGTCTAAGCTTAAAAACGGTGACAATAGTTCAGTAGCCGAAAAAAAGTCTAAATAGCCCCTATAATATGGACTATTTATAAAGGTTTTTACTCTTGGTGAGATTTTATCAAAACTATAAAAATAGGATTCTAATATTTTTCCAATTTAAGATTATAGGAAATGAATTTGTAATTTAATAAAAAAGAAAAGAAACAAAAGAAAAATATTTTAAATATATTCATAATAAATTTTATTTTAATAAACGTTTAAATGTGTTGTTTTACTTATAAATAATAAATTAATTAATGGGTATTTTTGTTTTCACTATTTTTAACTGTTTATTGGTAATGTATTAAAAAATAAAGAAAATTATCAATATATATATATATAAGTATATAAATTTTACATAATCAAATCTATTTCATATTTTTAATTGAAGCTGTTTCATTTTTCAACTTACCAAACAAGTTTTTTATAATTTCATATTATTTATTTCTAAAAACATAAAGATGGAAATTAGATAATTAAAAAAAGAAACAAATGAGCTTAAATATTTTTTAATTTTCATTTCATTGTTAATGCTTCTATTAATTATTTGGTAAGAAATAAAATTCATATATAAATATATTGTCTACTTTATTCTCTCATAGGCAGATCTACAGAATTCAGTCTCTAAAAAAGGCGATCGAATTTTTCAGAGTGGAAATCAGATGAAGAACGAAAGGGAAGAACTCAGAGTGGAATTTCATTTATTTTCTGTTTTGACTAATTTTTCTTGGAAAAAAAAATCTCAAAAGAACGTAGAAAATGGATTATTACACTCTGTAGATCGCGAGAAGAAGCTTAACTCTAATCGACCATCGCAGATCCAACTTACAAGAAAGATGATGAAGAAATGGGATGGATTCAGTTCCTTAACCACTTCTCATAATTCCTCGCCTCGCCAGCAGCCTCGCGATCGGCGGTGTGAGCGCAATCGTGATCGGGATCCGAATCGGCAACAATGCCTTGTTACAAAGCACGGCCAAAGCCAACGCGCCGCCAGTCGACGCTGCGAGCTCGGCTGTACGATTCCTTTTCCTCGGCTCTTCCACTACGGTTGATTGAATTCCCGATGTAGGTCTTTCTTCGATCACAAATCCATCATCTACAGACGGTGTGATTTCAGAGGGACTTGTCTGTGGCGTATCTTTGGAAGAGAATCCGTCCATGTGTAGCTTATCGAGTAGCGATTCTACATCGACATTGTTCTTGATGGCGACATAGAGGCCAGTGATTGAAGCCGCCGACACTGAGAAATGAACTCCGATTGCGACCTTCCCGTACTTCCTGAGAAGCTCGCGGAATCGGCCACCACCGGTGAAGAAAGCCATTGGTGAAAGAGAAGGGAAAAGGGCCGGGAAGAGAAACGGCGCGTCGGAGCTGAGCGGTGGAGTGTGGAAGCTAGGGTTTCAAAGTTTTCGGACGGGTTTGAAAATCCGTCTATTTTATTAGGAATTTATTTTTCAACGAGACGTTTTTCGGAGGGAATGTCAATACGACACCGTTTTGCGATAGTTAAAAAGTCAACCGAATCTGGTTGAATGGGCCAGTTGTCGTGGGTACAGCCCTTTTCGAGAGACCCTTCTAATGGGCCTAAAGCCCATTAATTTCAACCCGAATGTAATATTCAATTTTCTTTTATAAATTGTAAGCTAAATTAGTCATAGTTTTCAATTTGGTCCCTATAAATTTTAGAATTACAATTTGAACCAAATTGTTCTAATAATTCTAATTAATTGAGAGATAAATCAATAAATATACAGAGAAAACGGTTTTATTTTTATGTCAATAATAAAATAAAATTAATTTTATGGATCGTACTATTGTATCATACTATCTTTAAAGATCGAAATAACAGTTCATTTATTTATCTTAGATAATTAAACGTGAAATCTCGTTGATCATATAAGAGTTACGTTGACACTGGTGCTGGAGCTAGGGGAGGGGACGAGGAAGGAGGCGAAATAACAGTTTATTTATTTATCTTAGATAATTAAACGTGAAATCTCGTTGATCATATAAGAGTTACGTTGACATTGGTGCTGGAGCTAGGGGAGGGGACGAGGAAGGAGGTAGGGTCGGGGCGGGGCCATAGGTGGAAAGGAGGTGGATGAAGAGGGAACGAGAGAATTTTTTTTTTTCTTAAGAAAATTAAAACGAATTATTAATTTTAATTTTAAAACTAGTTTTTTTATATTTTAAAAATTGCACTTTAGCCCTCCATTAAATAACTATTTAATAAAGGGTTTGATTGCGTAATTATAAAACATAGAGACGAAATAAAGCAATTTTTTAATTTCAATAACCAAAAAATAATTTACGAAATAGTAAAAAATGACAATGATTAAATATATGTATTTAAATAATAATAATAATAATAATAAATAATTTTAAATTAATAAGAAACCAAAATTAATTTTGTATTTAAAATTTAGAGAATTTTAAAGGGATTTGTTGTTTCGGAAGAAATCTTGAGCAATTGTTCTTCGTTCTTCCCAAATCGGGAACGGAACCTCTTCTGCTTTCTTCTTCGAGTTCTTCCCGCACGGAAAACCTAGCTTTCAGGTATAGTTCTGCATCTCGCTTTTAGCGCCTCTAAATCTCTAATATTGCTTTTCTCGTTGTGATTCCGTATGAATTTCGGTTTTGATTCGCAAGTTTTGTCTGGAATCAGTGATAATGTTCATGCTGCTATTTGTTGTTGTGTGTTGTAGTAGACTTGATTTTGAGTTACCGTGGTTTCCTTTCCTCAGAAGTTGAATTGTTGTAGTTTGCTCGGGAATTGATTGTACTCCTTCGAATTCTTCTTGTGAAAAACAAAGACATATGCAAGGAAAATCAATTTTCCATTGAGTACACTTTGCGCATTGTATACATTCGGAGAAATTGAGGATTATTGTTGGCGTTGGTACGATAAATTAAGTTGGAAGTTTGAATGTTTTGATTTGTTTGATTGATCGTGTAACCTTCGTATCCATCCAATGATGCCTTTTATTGTCAAAATCTTCTTTTAAAGCTTTAAGTTTCCGGAATTTTTGTATATTTTCAAGCTCTGTTTAATTATGACTCTTTATTTGCAGCGAGTAAGAGACGTTGTTGCAGAGATGTCTGACGAAGGAAGAGTACACCCTGATTGTAGAAATGCTTCTAATCCTTATCATGAATGTAGCGAGTACTGCTTTAAAATAATAGCAGAAGTCAAAGCCCTGAATCAGAAAAATGAGCCAGGTTTTTTCACATGCTACAATTTCTTTGCAACTTCCTTGAACATAATGACTTCTCTTATTGTAGCTGACAATTTCATTATTTATCACTATCTATCCTTTTGTCTAATTTGTTAACGTTTTCTTGGAATTACGTAGCTTTTTTAACATTGCTAAAAATTGGCCCTATAAATTGCATAACCATTCCTCCTCCACCTTTCAAATTCAAGTGATATCATTGGTGGTCTTTTTCTCTTATCTCATGTTAATGTTTTTTTGTGAATTTTGATCACAGTTGCCACTTCATCAGAAGCTGTTCAAGCTGGTCGAAGTAGTGCTCCTTTCAATTTTGCGCCTCCTGACGAGTATGAAGATCTTCATGATGAAAAGCCTGAAGAAGAAGGGCATAGTGATGGTGATACTGACAAATTGAGTGGTGGGGAGAATGTGGAAGGAGACTTCACAAAACTTACAGGGAGGAAAAAGAAATTGTTTGAACTCAGGCTTAAGATGGTAATTTTCTACATTTTTCAAAAGTAGCTAACAATTCCTATCAAGTGTCAAGTAATGACTTATGGATCCATGGATGCAGAATGAGGCACGAAAAGCTAATCAGACAGCAATAGCTGCTGAAAAAAAGAAAATGGAACCTCCAACAGAATCAAGAGGCATTTCTAAACAAAAGTGGCTTGAGGATCGGAAGAAGAAAATCGGGAAGCTTTTGGATGCGAATGGCTTGGATATGACAAAAGCATACATGTTAGATACACAAGAGGCAGCAGAGTCCAAATATAAGAAATGGGAGAAGGATCCAGCTCCCTATGGATGGGATGGTGAGTCTCTATCTGTACTACAAATTTACACTATGGTGATCTTAGCTGCTTTTTTATGGAAAAATACATTTTTTAATAATTTGACTAGATTCCTTAATTTGCTAGTTGATGACGAACACATGATTTGATCTAGGATATAGATATTGTGAATCTGATTGTGAATTGAAAAAACTTCGTACTTAAAGTACTGGTGTTTCTCACTGTATAAAGCTATTTAAGTGTTTGTTTAATTATGAATCGCGTTATATCCCAAAGTAATCACATTTTTTGGGGGGAGGACTTGGATATAAAGTTTGCTTAATTGGTTGTATTTTATGTATTTGTTTTTAATATGTAAATACTTATCTAAAAGGGTTAAACTGCTTTGGTTTTAACAGTTTTTAACCAGAAAACGTTGTATGATGCATACAAAAAGCGGACGAAGAATGTCAATGTTGACATTGAGGAATATAATAAAATGAAAGAATCTGATCCTGAGTTCTACCGTGAGGCTTCAAGTCTTCAATATGGAAAGGTACTGTTAGTTCCACTGTATAGTTTCGATCATATGTGTAATTATCAGATTTCTGAGGATATAGATCTTGTGTCACTATCCTACAGGCACCTAAGATTTCAGAGGATAAGATTGACAATATGGTGAAAGAACTCAAGGACCGGGAGGAGAAGCGAAAGTCGTTTAGCCGTAGGAGGAAGTTCCACGAAGACAAGGATATCGATTCTATCAATGATCGTAATGAACATTTCAACAAAAAGATCGAGCGGGCCTTTGGTAGATATACTCTGGAGATCAAAAACAATCTTGAGCGAGGAACTGCATTGCCTGATTAAGGTATTTTGTTTAGATGAGGCTCTGGCTCAATCATTCATACATACATGCATACATTCTTTTTACTCTTGCCCTCCTTCCTCTGCTATGTGCTGAATATACTTGTCACGAGGAGAGACGAGATGTGAGATCCCACATCGGTTAGAGAGTAGAATAAAACATTCTTTATAAGGGTATGAAAACCTCTTTCTAGCAAGCGTGTTTTAAAAATTTCGAGGGGAAGCCCAAAAGGGAAAGCCTAAAGAGAACAATATTTGCTAACGGTGGGCTTGGGCCGTTACGTGTATTCTATGCTATGCTGAAGTTACATATTTCTTTCTAAGCATGGCTTGGTGCACTTGATTAAATTTTATTTCGTGTTTTCCATTGTTTTTTCGTGTAGGATTTTGGAATCCAAGTAGTTGGGAGTATTTTAAAGCCAGCAGATTTGTACGCAAAGCTATAGAAAGTGATTGTAAGTGATTTTGTTTTTAATATGACTATGAATTCATATTAGAAAAAAATTCTCTCCTATTTTATTTTGGTTTTATTTTGTCTTGCAATTAAAGAAAAGTTGTTTTCTTCCTTTATAGAAGTTTGTTCTATTTATCTCTGATTTTAACCGCTATCTTTAAAATTTCTCTTAAATATTTCTAAATTTTTATCTTTCAGTAACTTTTGTCTACCGTCTTCTAATTTTTTTTAATCTCAAATATAACTCTTTTTAAATGGGATGATTCTAAAACTACTTTTGTAAATAAACATGATTCATTTTAAAATGTTTTAAAATCGTTTTTACAAGTGCGGGACTAAATATCAATTAAAATGATTTATAACTAAACATTTTTACAAAATTAATTATTATTAAATCGCTTAATTGAAAACATTTAGGCTTATTCATTTACCAAGGAAAAAACATTTAAATATATTGTAACCCAACATTATAGCAATTCAACCCTTAAATATTAGTAATGTGTCACAATCGCTTTTTCTCAAGACTTTGTAAAGTATTTTTGTGACACTCACTCTCACCACCAATCGAGTTAGTGAACTCAAATTTATGTCACAATTGGTATGGATGATATTTGCTCAAATCTTAGTTGTTAGTTCGGTTAACAACAATGACATTAATAGCATGTAATCTCTTAATATAAAGAATTGACAAACACATTTTGAATTAGATATTATAATAAAACATAATATAAAATGAAAACGATAAAATAATATTAACTTAGAAGTAGACAAAATCATTTGACATGGGGTATGCAACTATGACATGTTCTGAATAGGCATAACCATGACACCGTGCAAGAACGAAGATCAGGTGTGGAAGAACTATGAACGGACTACAGAGTGCTGCTTGTGCGTTGTTTCTAATAAAGGTGGCGATGGGGATGTACAAGAAAATGAGAGTGGCCATGTACCTCTGCAAAAGGAACCAAACCTTAATCTCATAAAACCCCATGAACGGAGCTGGTGGCAGATCCAGTCTTTCTTAGAAGACATGATTAATTGCCTTTTCAAAGCTTTTCAAAGCTTCAAGCACATGCAGATGGATCTCTCTATATATATACATATATAGCTTCTCAAAGCGATGAATGCTTTAGTTTTCTAGAAGAAAGTGAAACAAGATATAAAGAGCTTGAAGGCGTTTAGTCATCCATGAAAATTTTCTTGAAAAGCTTACAAGGGTCTCTAATTTGGTGCCTTTTTCTTCTCTCTCAAAATTTTTCCTCCATTTCCTTGGGGTTGTGTGAGTTGCTTTCAGAATCAGAGTAGTAATCTTTTTTCTCATGCACACCGGACTCTAGAGATGAATACCAAAAGAGCTTTTACCAGATGCACCATCTACCTCGGACAACTCGCTCGACCGAGCCGGAGAAGAATTTGTTTCATGCACATAGGTTGGAATACAACGAGTTAGCACTAAAGAGAATTAAGAGATACTTTGTGGTAAATTCTAATCACATAACAAGTTAAAATGTTAGGAAAATAGAAAAGTTACTTTTGGGCTGAAGAAAGAAATCAAGAGGAAAAATAGTTAATGGGTTGTTCAATAGGAACTCTTAAAGTTAAAAACTTGAAGAAGAAGAAGAAGGAAAAAAAAAAAAAGGAAGAACAAATTTGGGATGTTTAGGATTGGAGGGAGCTTATAGCGGGTTTAGATGTTGAATGACCTTATAGGCCGAAACTGAGCCACGTTTTAGGGAAGAACAGTGTGTGAGGGAAAATAGAGACACTGTCATTTGGACAACAGCTAGCACTATCATGCTCAAGCATTCAAATGTCCTCACTGGCCATAAATTTACATTCATCCTTTTGAATAAATATCAAAATCTTGTAACCTAATTAACAGTCTGAAGAATGACACCAACAACATACCATAAGAAGTTTTAGATTCTATTCTGTGATTAAATCAAAAATCCAACTTTATGACTAGTATAAAATGAACTTTTCTCCTCACAAATACAGACAATTTCATTACACCTATCAAATGTTCAATCTCCAAAGTAAATGACTTGATGGCTAATAAAGGTTTGCCTTAAAATTTCTATTAGGAGTAACAGATTTCTCAGTCCCAGGAATTTCACACAGATAATACAACAATTACAATTTTGGTGTCAGGCAAATGTCTGGAATCTTAGACACATATCCATATGCTATACTAAAAACTTGGGAACATTGGGGTTATGCATATTAGTTTATGATCTTACTTGCAATAGCTCTGTTATCTTCTTGCCAGACTTTTTTTTGTTAATATTTGCAGGGTGATTTCGAGTATGATCCAAAATTAACCCCAGCAAGTTAGCAGCTCCACATACTAAATACTTTAAACAGGTGCTCGAATTATTTCAACTTTGAGCTTTGACACGACTTAGAATCCAGTGCACCTGTAAAAGTCCAACCACAGTAAGTTCGAAAATGAATCTCAAAATAACCGGGTTTATTTTAAGAAATAATGGACTTGCCAGTCCCCATAAAAAAAAATAGCTCCATTGTTTAGTGCTTACGATGTTATTTTTAGGAGATTTCCAGTAAAATCCTTGGATCCCAATGACGAGTATGTTAGAGATTACTAAAACATAAATACTCAAAGCATGCTTCCCCATCCACTCCAGAACACATGTCAAGCATCGATAGCCGTGGACATCCACCTATAGAAATTAAGAGATCTTCAAACCTTAGTTGTCCATTTAGTTTGGCTAAGAAAAATACATGGATAGAATTTAACAAGGAAAAAAAGGTGGTTAGTCGTTCTTTAAACGACACCGCACCCTGATATTTATATTATTATTATTATGATTATTATGATTCAGTTTGAAGAATAATTCCAAATGCTTGCTTCCACTACGATGGTTTCATCTTCAATCCAAAATCTCAAAATTTATGAACTCACCAATATATATAGAGCACAAAAGAGTATTCCTGCTGACGCTGAAGTAATCAACATATAGCTGACTGTGTAGAGGGACTTATTTACAGGGATACCTGAAAGACAGTTTCAAAACAGAAATCAATTTCAAAATCGGATATTGTAAAAGATTATATATATAACATAACTTTGCTGAAAACATTGGAGAAAGGAATGGACAATGATCGGTCAACATTATTAGCCTAGCTGACATGATAGATACGTGTTCAGCAATGCATCTTCCATCAAGTTTATACCTACGAAGACAAGGAATATTCCGAGCACGAAGATCTTAAGAGAGAGCGAGAACCAGCTATTGGTGCGACTTTTGTGATCCTGGAAAATATTGAAGCGATGCAATTAGTGACCAATGTTTGACTTCGCAAGCATTATTTATATCGGAAACAAAGTGTCCACTATACTACTTTTTTCATTGAGATAAGTAAATTATGTGAAATGAGAACTTCCTAATCAGAGTGATGAGTAATATGCTAAGTTCTTGCTTAAGCTCACCTGTACAATGGCAAGAATGTGACCATACTGAAGCCCTATTATGCATGCCACTGTAGCTGTTAAAGAGCTGCAAACATTTGCAACAGTGCAAAATGTACTCACGTGAAATAACGTATGAAAGGAATGAACATTCTTTCTACAAAAAGGAAAGAAAAACAAAAACAAAAAAAGAATCTAGATTTCAATGAAGCATAAGAAATGCATCATCTGAAGGCTTCAGAATTTAGATCAACAATTTGTAAAGGGTTAAATTTCAGCGCATGCATCTTAATATTATATTTCCCTGAAGGCCAAAATTTATGGCATTTCTCTCAAACCAAACGGTCTGATTTAAAACTGAAGTTGGCACATTAATTTTTCTCACCAACCTTTCCCCAAAATATCTCATCAAGACAGAGAGTGCACATCCCTTGAAAAAGTCCCGTACGCATCAAAATGAATGCATGTCTTTATAAATTCATTTTACTGAGAAGAAGAACAGATCTGCACCTTAAAAGACCCTCAGGTTCAAAAGGAGCATGGCACCATGAAGGTGAAGTCTCAGGAACTTGACCGCTGGAGGAAATGTTGCACTCCTTCAAACCACATTCTTCATTAGGGCTGATCAAAATGCACAACTATGGTGAACTTTACAAGATCAAAAAACCGATATAACTGATACCTTCAGATTTCTGTAGACAGGTTTAGTATACAAATGGTGAATACCAAGAACATAACGATCAATCATCCCAGCAGAATTACAAGCAGGTCCCATATCACCTCGAATAGAACAATTCACCTATAACAAGAATGATCTTGTTTTCAGTGTAATTTATGCCCAAAGCTCTTCCTTTCTTTCATCAGATAAAGGACTATCATAGTTTAGCATCCTAGATTTGAGGATGAAGCAACTGGTACATGGATGGAAGTAAAACTTTGCATGGGTATCATTCCAGATGTAAGTACATAAGCATTTCGATATTATCTCATTTTTTCCGCTCTAAACTATAAAGAATGGGTTCTCTCCTTTTTCTAAAAATAGAAAATAATAGACCATAAAAATGAAGCTATTAGAGAAATGGGCACAAACATGGTGCATAGTATTTACTTACCATGTAAACATAGCTTCCATTTGGTGGAAGTGAAGAGCTCGTGGTTGATATTTTAAATTCCCAATCTGGAACATATAAACCATACGATAGTCCCATATACAACGACAACAAGAGAAATATGATACACCTGCAAATTCAAAACGCTAAACATGAAGAAGCATAATAAAATAGAGAAGTTCAAGCATTCTTATAATGCCACTGTTAGGACTCACGACTCTCCACAATGGTATGATATTGTCCACTTTGAGCATAAGCTCTCATGGCTTTGCTTTGGGCTTCCCCAAAAGGCCTCATACCAATGGAGATAGTATTCCTCACTTATAAACCCATGATTTTCTACTAAATTAACCAATGTGGGACTTACTCCCAATAATCCTCAACAATCCTCACCTCAAACAAAGTACCCTATAAGCCTCCCCTGAGGCTTATGGAGCTCAAGAATAGCCTCCCCTTAATTGAGGCTCGACTCCTTTCTCTGGAGCCATCGAACAAAGTACACCCTTTGTTCGACACTTTAGTCACTTTTGACTACACCTTCGAGGCTCACAATTCTTTGTTCGATATTTGAGGATTCTATTGACATGGTTAAGTTTAGGGTATGGCTCTGATACCATGTTAGGAATCACGACTCTCCACAATGGTATGATATTGTCCACTTTGAGCATCAGCTCTCATGGCTTTGCTTTGGGCTTCCCCAAAAGGTCTCATACCAATGGAGATAGTATTCCTCACTCATAAACTCATGATCTTCCACTAAATTAACCAAATGTGGGACTCACTCCCAATAATCCTCAACAGCCACTGCTTATTGCTAATGGTTATTTCAATTTCAATGACTCTGATAAAGGGCTTAAAGACTTTAAAATAACATAGTGTGATGAACCACCAAGATCAAATTGAGTAACAACTCTCAATTTCACTCGATATCTAAGTCTGTAGTACTCTCTTAGCAAAATTTTGCAACCAAAATCATGTCGTTACAAATACATTAATAGGAGGTCTGATCATACCTAGTAAAAGAGTAGAAAAACATTATTCATACCACCAAAAAATGAAATTGAAACTTAAGCAATAGCCTCTAGATATTATGCATATGTAATATCAATCAGGTTAACAAATACTATATCCTTACCAATGCCAGCTGAAACTCTTAGTATTTTGAGCTTCTTCACGTATACAATGAGTAAGCCAGATCTCACATAGTGCAGCAATCAAGTATCCAACAGATATTCTCTACATTGAATCAAAATAGATACATAACCTGATGTTAGATGTAAGAGGAGGAAGAAAAGTTGGCCCAAATCCCTGTCTATAAATTTGACGTTAGGTCATTTTGTCAGCTTATAATCGCTTGGATGGCATTTGAGCCATCTCGAACATATAGGGAGCAACATCATATAGTTCAAAATCTGAACCAAATTCATTAATTTGGTTATGTAACAGAAACCCTATAATTGTGTGCTCTGGCCAGAACAAACTTGGACCATTGTAGTAATTACACGCAGAAAAGGAGAGACGAACGCAACACCTGCAAAATGCCAAGCCACCTTATCCTTTGCATATCAACACCATATGTCAATGATGTTATTCCGTGAAAGTAACCACCTGAAATAATCAGGAAAAATTATGATTGATCTTACAATTTAAAATGTATGCAATCAAAATCAATATAAAATTCTGAACCACAGAATGTAGACATCACTGACTGAGTACAACTTGACAATCTAAGTTCAACACAAAATTGACCATAAGTAACTTTACCTTGAAGAAGAACGCCGAGGAGAAAAAGGTATAGACCCCTGCATGCTGCATTCTTTGTAGCAGTCACTTTACAATTTACTTCCTATTTTAAGCAATTCTGTATGTTAAAACAAAATCCTGGAAAAAATTTACAAAAACAGGGGAAACCGTGATCCGTCTACACGGATTTTACTTCCACACAGAAGAGGACAGTAGCTAGTTGAACGAAAAAAGTCAACCAGAGGCCAAAAATTCTTGGTTGAATCCATTCACTTACTTTATAAACAAGTGCAAGCGAGACTCCCGCAATAAATAGAAACCAAGGCATCACAAAATCAGCCAAATGAAGCCCATTCCATGGAGAATGAGCGATAACTGGTAAAAAAGAGCCACCGTAGTCCACGAACATCATCATCTGGATATACACAGCAGACAGCATAGCATCAAATATCACAAATTTAGCAGGTAGTAGTCAATTTACTGGATTTGCTAAAGTGAGCTGCTACATAACACAAACTGTCCTCTTATGGAATTCATTAGAAAAGTAAAATCTCATTAAAGAAAAACTCAAAAGCCGAACTAACAGAAATAACAACAAGAATGAGAAATTCTTTAATTAGACATTGATCAATAACCAGTTCCGGAGAAAGAAAAACAGCGTGCTCCAAACAAACCAATTGCACTCGTTTCAACATAAGAGTAAGATTCAGCTTCAATTAGATCCTTTATCATCTCAACAGAAGGCACATTCTTTCCGATAACCAAACCCAGCCGAACCAAAAAGCACAAAACCAAACGATTATGCATGCACAATAATTCAAGAAGCATATGAAAACCAGGCCAAACAAAGAGATGTACGCAGCGTATATAGTGAATCGAGATCCAGAGGGCAAACAAAGAGCTTACAAAGACGCTGAGACCGCGAAAGACATCGAGTGAGATAACGCGCGGAGCTTTGCGACTGGAGTCCGGCAACTCCTGTCGATTCCTCAGCAGCGGTTGAGAATCGGCCATTGATTCCGGCAAGAAGCGCGGAGGCCGAAGTAACTGAAAGTAGGCCAAAGCGATCAAAATTCACAAGAATATGAACATCCGTAAGCCATGTTTGGTAAAGAATATGCACCGCGGTAAACGCCGTCGCTTCCCTCAATGTCTCATTATTATGCGGTGGCGCTTTTTCATTGGCTGCAAACAGAATCTGACATAAATCGAAGTCTCAAAAGTTATTTTTATTTTTCAGATATTTGAAAATAAGAAAAATAAAATTATATATATATATGTATATATATATATATATATATATATATATATATATGTATGTATGTATGTATGTATATATATGTATGTATGTATGTATGTATGTATGTAAATTTTTCAGTGTTATGAATTTTAATTTATAGTTCTGGATCATTTATTAATTAATTCTTTTTATAAAAAATGCATAAGAAAATACAATATTATATTATGGTTTAATTAGAGTATTAAATTATTGATTTGAAGAAAATAATATTGAATTATTGTATCATGAAAAGGAGAGTATTAAATTATAATATCATATGCATTGCATTTGTTTGATTATTTTTGTCATTTTAATTCATCCTACTTATTTAATTGACTTTTTTTTTAAATAAATATATTTTTTAATTCAAGAATGATTTTAAAAAAAAATTATAATGATGTTAAGATGAGTCCTACTACTCATTAAGGGGAAAATCATGGGTATAAGACATATGAGCTTATGCTCGATCCCTTAACTTAGCCATATTAATAGAAGGCTTCAGATACAGTGACTCAATCAGTATGGTCGAAAAATGCAACCATATGCAACATGTTTCTTGACTAATGAGACCTACTATTCATGACTGATCCTTAAGCTCCTTTTTCTTTTTCATAGGGTTGGATGCATAGTACTTATGTACATTCAAATCTCACATACGCACATGAACTCACTAATTAGGCTCGTTAATGTACCCTTAGGCCTGACTATGGGTTAGCGCGCTTGTTGCCAAAAATCAATGAAAAAGAAAGAAGTGTGTATAATAGCATGATGCACGTGTCCACACACAACATACTAAAGAAGTAATCTATGCTCGTGTGTCATGCAATATGCATGAAGTCCCTTTACGTCAATGACAAGAACAAAAACGAACTTGAAAGTTCAATAACATCTAACCCTCTTTGCCACTCTTCCATAAGCATTGTCAGCCTCTTTGATAAACAAAACGAGTCTTGATAAGTCCATCGAGCCAATATCTTCATCCCTTGTCAAACAAATAACTTCCAACCGACTCGATCCCCTTTATATTTTTGGAATCAATCCAAGCTAGTCATGTATAATTAAAACCAATGTCCAAGTGTGAGGAGTGGTTGGGCTTGTTCCATGAGAGGCTGCGTGTGGCGCGCGCAGACATGCGCACGGTTGGAGTGTGGCGGAGTGAGGGCAAGCGCGCGCGGGGGCGTGGAGGGCGGCTCCACCACTGTGGACTAAACTAAACCCATTCCATTTAAATACATAACAAAATGATGCTCACTATTGCCCCAATTTAATGCTAATATTCCTATGGAATTTGTGTAATTATTTATTTTTATTTCTTAAAATAGCTCTCAAAGGGTATAAACTTATCTTTATACTTTAAATTTGTAATTATTTTTTTTGGCGTTTAACAGGTGAAAAAGTAAATTTAAGGGAATACTATCCATATCAATTTTGTCTTTAAATTTTAATTTTCTCGAGTTAGATTAAATACTTTTAGATAAGTATAGTAATTTTCCCTTTTTATAAAAAAATATATTTTTTCCACGTGACCACTATTTTTTTTTAAATAATAGAAAAATCAAGTCTAACGTCATTTTTCTTTAAATTCCATCCCTTTAATATCAAACTCATGTTATATAATCCATTTAGCGAGAATTTTTTAAATTTTTTTTCAAACAAAGAATACTTATTTGGAAAATAAAAATGATGATAATTATTAACTTTAGGTAAAAAATCTAAATACTTACTGGTTTAAAATTAATATTATAATGTTTTAAAATGTAATTTGGTGAAATAAAAATATTTATCACGAAAAAATTAATTCCCCCTAGGTAATTAATTTAATATAATTACCGGAAAATGTAAATATATATATTGTATTGAAAAATAAGGATAAAAAATAAGGAGTTTATTTATAATACATATTACATTAATAACTAACATTTCATAAACTCAAAGATTAAATGTAAAATATTTTTAATTTTTATAATAATCCAAAACCTAATTTCGAGTGGGTGGGTTGACCGGACCAAAAAAATATAAACTTGCTCAGTTCAAATTTTTGGTTTTTCAAAAATTCAATCCAACCCAGACCTAAAAAATCTAACCCAACAATGATTTGAGTTGAGTGAGTAATCAGTTGCTCGGTTCACTAGTAATATGAACACCTTTAAATTTAAATTTAAATGAGGTAGTTTAGATTTCAACCGTTTTTTTTTAATGCCATAAATGGAATTTGGAATTCAAAATCTCAAAATAATCATTTTCTTTTATTTTAGGGTAAAGGATTTTAAAGAAAGTTCATAGCTATTGACGGTGACTTCCAAAACCAAAGCAACGAATGAGATTAGATAATGATTAACAGCAAACAATGGCTGAATTAATCGGATCATCGTCTCCCAGTTCTAAGCTTTAACAATCCCAGCAACAGCAACAACTTTATCTTCTCAAATCCTCTTCTCTTTGCTAAATCTTTACCCATACCCACAAAGCCAAACTCTCTTAGAAGCCATGGAGAAGCTTTTGTATTCTTCTTCTCCGACCCGCTTGAAACCCCATCTTCTTAACCGCGCTCCTTTTCTTCCTCCACTCCGTCGCATTGACCCATCAAAGCTCCATTTCCCCTCATCAATCCGTTCCGAGTTTACTGGACTTAATTCGTTCTCTTCCATAATTGAGAACTCATTTCTTCCTTCTTCTCTTCCTCGTCACCCTGTTTCTTCGCTGTTTCTGGCTGATTCTCGTGATGGGTCGGCGCCGAAACCTCATGTTCTACAGCGGATCGGAACTTTGCCCTCTGGAGAACAAAAGGTATCTTGAAAAATTTAGTCGAGGGGTGTTGTTTTTGTGACATTGTTGTATTTCATTTCTGTGTTGTTGGATGAACTCTCTGTGTTTGAGCTGCTGGTTAGCGCACTGATCAACGAGTAGCGTAATTCCTGTTCATGATAAAGAGGAAGGGAAAGGGGAATCGAATGATTTTGCTAGTTTGGTTAGTGAATGGATAGGTTGGACTTATGAATCCAATTTCCCTTTACTTTTTAGCTTTTGTTTATATGATTTGTATGAACAAGGGCTGAAGATTTAGCATAAGAGTAGAATTGGGGTAGGATTGTGCTGTTGTTGGTCAAGATTGTTGTCATTCTGAATGTTCATATTGAACTAGGAATTTTAAGTTTTGTTGGTAACAAAACTGAGCTTGAAGAATTAGTGGAAGGAGCCCCGTTACTTGGGATATCTTTGAATCAGAATATGGGAGGCTACTTGGTTTGGGGACCAAACTACTTTTTGCACCTTCTTGTTTCCAGCCACAAGGAAAACATTTGCTATGGAATGATTCGACTGGCCATTGATTAGGGGAGCTGAAACTTAGATCTAACTTGGATTCCGCACTATGGAAACTAGATGTGAGAGCTCACATCTGTTGGAGAGGGGAATGAAACATTCCTTATATAGTGTGGAAATACGAAACATTCCTTATATAGGTGTGGAAATCTCTCCATAATAGCCGCATTTTAAAACCTTAAGACCCTAAGGGGAAGCTCAGAAAGGAAAGCCCAAAGAGATAATATCTTCTAGCGGCGGGCTTGGGCTATTAGACTGGAAGGGGTTGAAGTCTTTCTTCTTCTACTACTTGATCCTACATCTACCTCATAGGTAAAGCAAACAATTGGTCTGGACATCTTGAAAATAAATACCTACAAAACAAATCCAAATGTTTGCATATCAAAAAGCTCATCTAGAATCCAAGGTGCCCAAGAAATCGAATTCTCGACTTGGTGCACGATCTTCAAGGAAATAAACGTTTGCCAAAGAGGTCTGCGAGTAGGCATCTCAACTTTAAAATGTGAATATAATCCGAAGGAGTAGGAAAAGTCTGGACTAGCTATTTCTTCGATCATATTTCGGTCTAAAGACTGGGGCAAACATTTCGAAACTTCTTGCCTGGATTGGTTTGTCCCTTTGTAGATAGAAGAGTTCTTAAGCATAGTGCAGTCCATCTTGTCCAATTGAAGGGAAAAGAAAGGGGAAAATTTGATTAATGGAACAATAGACTGAGTGTGGAACTTCCCAGACTCTTTAACTTCACTTTTAGGGGTAGCCCGAAAAGAAAAGCCCAAAGAGGACAATATTTGCTAGCAGTGGGCTTGGGTTGTTACAGATCTATTCCACTCATTCATTTGAACATTTCTAATATGATAGTAGCCCTTCTTCAAGTGGAAACAATTCGGTTTCTATAAGAAACCATTCCTAAATGCAATTTGGGTGAGGTAAAAGTTAAAAGTAAGATTCGAACGGATGGGGATAGATTATGGTTACCATGGAATGTGGAATGGTTGTCGATAAGCTAGCTTGGCAGTCGACGTTCTTCACTTTGCGTGCACCTTTAAGGTAAGAATTCTGCTCCAATTACCAGTAATGATCTTTTACCAACTTTGCACTCCCTGTCAAGTGCATTATGCACAATGTGGGGACTAACCTTCATGTTAATTGCTATATCCTTTAGCAAGCCACAATATTTGGGCAAGTTTCATTTTAGCTTCTTTATCTCTTGGGAAATATTTCCTGAACTTCGATATGATTTTATTTTATGATAAATTTTAATACGAACGCGCTAGGATCATCAGGAGTTTAGGCATATGGCCTTTTGGTTCAGTCTCTTGTAATCTTGCTGTTTAACTTAGAATATTCTTTATCAATTTATGGTAGGCTGCTTATTAAGCTCAGCATTGTAATGAAACTAAACTTTTCCTTGTCAACTTCACAGTCCAAGGATACTGAAATATTGGATTTGCTGATGATTCATGTATAGGTTGAACGGTTGCTTGCGATATCGCAAATTTTGTCTCAGCAGTTGTACGTGCTGTATTTGCATGTCACGTGTCAATATTATTGCTAATTTGCTTTGAAAGCTTACAGAGTTTTCGTGTTCCAAAATTTATAGGCAAAAACTACAAGGACATTTATGGCGCTCTGTGTTGCTGTTCTGTTCTTGCTCCAACCAGTTTTTGCACCTTCAGCTTTTGCATCCTTCCACCCTGCAGCTACGACAGGGGGTCCTGCTGCTGCCACTTTTGGGGGAAGATTTTTCCGATCTGAACTATTGATCAGTGCTTGGACTGGTTTCTTTGCTGGATGTTTACACACATTATCAGGGCCCGACCATCTTGCTGCTTTAGCTCCCCTCTCCATCGGGCGTACGCGCATGGAAAGTGCCGCTGTTGGAGCCCTGTGGGGCTGTGGTCACGATGCAGGTCAGGTTATCTTTGGCCTCATATTCCTCCTATTGAAAGACCGACTTCATATCGAAATCATCCGTACTTGGGGCACAAGAGTCGTCGGTATTACTCTGCTTGTAATCGGTGCATTAGGCATTAGGGAGGCTTCGGAGGTTCCTACTCCTTGCGTTGCATTAGACAACGGCGAGTGTGACGTTAGCATGTATGAACCGTTAGATAATCCAACAGGAGGCAAGAAGAAGATAGGTTTTGCAACTTTTGCAACAGGTATTGTGCATGGGCTGCAACCAGATGCATTGATGATGATATTGCCTGCACTTGCACTGCCCTCTAGATTGGCCGGAGCTGCATTTCTTGTGATGTTTTTGGTAGGTACTGTAGTGGCGATGGGAAGTTATACAGTGTTCATAGGTTCATGTACTCAGGCCTTAAAGGAGAGGGTGCCTAGGATTACAGAGAAGCTCACATGGGCTGCTTCCTTTATAGCCATTGCTCTTGGATTGGCCATTCTCATCAGTCAGTACTTTGGGTTTAGCCTTTACTAAACTGCAACGTTCCACACTTTTCTTGCTTTGTTATTGTTAGAAGAATATGCTAGTAGTAATAAAAGGTTTGTTTATTATGTTTAGAGCAAATTTTTCTCAAAAGTGCCACTTCTATTAGCAATTCTCTGCCATCTTCGTTTATGAATTTTGTTTCATAGGCCTTTCCAATACAAATATGGGCGGAGAGATTTGGATCTTGAATGAATTCTAGGCCTACTTGAACCATCTTTTGATTTGGAATCACAGATTTTCAACCTTTGAATAAATTTCCATGAACATGGCAGTACAGGGATAAGAAAGGATTACTAAAAAGCAGAAATTCTCAATTTCTATATGGTAGCAACCAAGAGTGCACAAATTCTGAACAGCAAAAGGCAAATGGTTTATAGATTCACATACAAAGAGAAACAGCTGCATCAGTTATTTTCAAAATAAATATTAAACTACAAAATATTTGACATGAGTGCAAGAGAGGAGTGCTTTACTGAAACAAATTTTACAAAGGTCTCATCATGGCTTCTGTTTTTTGTTGGTATCGTGAAGGACACAAACATCCGCCGCCGTCTTCATCTGAAACGAACAGAACAGTTGATATTAGAAATAGCTGCTGTTTTTGTGTTTATTCAGGCTTTCAGCTTGAAATTGAATAAACTTTTGAGATCTTATGTAAGACAGAATAATGTCACCTTCAACTCCCATACTATCCAATCGAAAAGTCCACGTAACAAAAGGGAAAAAAAACGATGAGGTATCGATTAAGGGAAATGGCAGGAGTGAAGAGCAACTGAGGTGGACAGAGACGGAGGCAAGAGAGGCACGAGTGAATTGGAACGTGGGGATTGAACGGTATGCAATATGACAATGGTTTGGAGTATAAGATTCATAAATATGGTGAGTTAAGCGAGTTGAAAGAGGACAACTCCAATAGGCATAGTCCATTAAAAAGGAAGGGATGGCGAGTTAGTACTAACCGAAACCTTACACGCACAATTTTCATAGGCATAAAAAAGTACAGAATTTTGGTGCTTAAAGACACCCACCACAGGGAAAATGAACACACCAACATATTAATTTCAAGAATTTCTACTATGATTACAAGGTACCATGGATCGCATGCTAAAACTAGGAAGTATAAATCAGGAAAATTCATCCTAAAGTTATTAATTTATAATACTCCATGAGTGTCCAGACCCGAACATTCTCATGAGACAACCATCTTACTCTACTGCATTTAGTTGATATGGTAACTCATATGATATTAAATCCTAGACAGATGACCAATATAGCTTGAACCAATTACCTTTAAATCTTTTAATATTTACATGACCTTTATTGACCACTGGACCAACCCGCGATGATTTCATATACGGCCCCTACTTCAAGTTGGGCATTCATGTCTAAAAGGAATCATTCATGCAGCTACTGAATCTATCCATTTACAAAGATATAAAGGTCTGATAGCATGCATTACCTGTATGACATTAACAGCTTGCTTCACTGCCCATCCGAACAAGCTAATTACGACCAAAAGTGATAGGAGTGTCTTTTGTTGTATCGAGTGTAATATAACCTGAAAAAAGGTATCGAGTTCAAACAACTGGGATATTGTCCTACTCCTACCAGCAACCCGAAATTAACACTAATGACAAACTATACTTACATCCATCAATTTCTCATTTTGCTTCTCCGCCAGCAGAAATAGAGTAATGTAAAGAACCTATAGACGGAAAATGAGGATTGAGAACAGGTGGTGCTCACCAATGAGTGTTTGAGTAATTAAAGAACAGAATTTCAAATTACCTCGCATGACACACAACAGTAAGCCATAAATGTCCTATTTCCATAATATGCCTTAAACAGCCAATTGGTGCTGTCTTTGACATCTTTATGACTGGCTTTGCCTAGCAAAAAGGTACTGAGGTAATAGTAAACCAAAAAAATCAGAGATGCATAAGGAAAAAAAATGTACACATGATCAAGCAGAATTAAAAGCAATATAATACCTGTACATTTGAAGCCAGTGGCTAGCAATATCCAAGGCAAGAAGTGATAAGAAAGTCAAACCAGGCCTGCATTACAACCCTCTATAATATTTACAACTAGTTTCGTTTTAGTCTTTACAAAATCCCTTGAAACTAGCAAAAATATTATGTATATATAAATGAAATCCTTACCTGTATACTTGGGATAGAATTACTAGTAGACAAGCAGTGCTAATCCTGTGATACAGCAGATTCTGATCAAAATTGTCAATCAAGGGCAAGGTTGTATGCCCTGAGGGACTTGATATCAATATAAAGTTACGAGTATAACAAATCCAGTACTATATCAAATTTCCATATCTTAGATGCAAAATATATATAAATACAAAGATTAACGAAGATTGTACCGGTCTGTTACCATGTCCAGCACAGCCCCAAAGGTGGAAACTGAATCATTCAAGAAAAAAGCATTACATTTTACAGATAATGGTTCAACTTTAGAGACTAACAAAGTTCAAGTGATTGAAAGCACTTGAGGCATCCTATCAATAACATTGTACACAGGCAACTAGGTTAAGGCTCTCCAATATAATTTTCTTCCACATATATATATATATATATAAATACCAGAATAAGTCAAACTGAGAAGTCCTTAATCACAGGTTATACATTTACTTAGTTCAATTAAAGCACTCAACACTGGGTATCATAGAACTATAAACATTTACTTCCGTTCGAAAATAAAGAGAACAGCAAAAACCATAACAGTCAAGATGAATATTGGCTTATAATATTTACAATAAAAACCAGAGAATTGCATCTAATATATATTTTTCCACAAGTACTCATAGCAGATAAACACACAAACATGGTAAGTATGTACCTTGATTGAATTTGCGAGCACACCAACCGTCTATACCATCGCATACAAAGCTGAAAACATGAGTTTAATAAAAAATGTGTCCAGTTTCCCCCAATTTTGCATAAAGATATTGATGGAAAAGAGAAGGTGATATGGGAAATTAAGCACTAACCTGACAAAATAGAGGACTGAGAAAATTATTTTATTTGAGAAGCATAGGGCAAAGGCAACAATGTTCATGAGAACCCTTATATAACCTGCATTTCAGTCAAGAAAATATTTTAGAAATCATGAATGCATCATAACTTCAGCAATTAAGTAGAGTTCTTAAGTAGAAGCAGGGCATTCAATATAAAGATGACACGAGCTGATTGAATGATTAGAAGACAACATGCAATAAGAGAAACTTAATACCCACCAATGATATTGGGAACGTAAAGGTACACGGACATTTTACTTTGTTTCCGCTTCAACTTATCAGCCATGGAAGCTTCTCAAAGAGTTCAAAACTGAGTCAGATAAACTACACAAGCAATCAATCAATCAATCTATACCTCCTGCATCCATAGCATATTTTCATGATTAAGTATTACCCCAAATCCGCACCAACAAGGACAAAAAACTTAATCACATTAATCAAGAAAAGATTCACTGATTCTAACAAGAAAAATGAAGTAGCCAAGCAAAACAAAGTCGGAAGAGAAGACGGAACAGAATAGAAGGGTTGACGGAAGAAAAAACCTTAAGGGGAAAAGCTGGTCCGGCTGCAGATCAAAAACCCTTGGTTGACAACCCTTTTGTCGATTTATTTCTGATTCTTTGCTTAACAGTGGAGCAAAACAACGGAATAACTGCAAGCAAACATCAAACAAAGACAAAGCATTAAATTAAATGAAGTTTGACGAAGGACCGTGGGCCAAATGGGGCCCATCCATATATAGAATCTGGGCCCCGAGGCTGAGAACTACTGGAATTCGGAGGAGGAAGAGTGTTTCGTCGTCAATGGCGGCGTAAATCGAAGGAATTAGAGAGGAAAGCTTGCATCGTACCAGTGCGAAGAGGAGGAAGGAAAGAATCAATGGCAAGCGAGGAGAGAGATCCTGCGGAACTGAGTATCGAGAGTTGGTAATGGTCGTTGAAAAGTGGAGACCAACTTGATGAGAATGTGTGAAGTAGTGCTCCAATGGCGGTATAATGCATATGAAAAGCTTGAATCTCGACAGCCAGAGAGAGAAGGGGAGGGAGATGAGTACAGAGAATGGGGTTGAAATCAAACCAAAATTAGGGCTGTTCTTGATCATGTTTTTTTTTTTCCTTTTTTTTCTTTTTTTGAGAAAAAAATTTAACCTTTTTATCTTTTAACTTGTTAATTTCCATTCACTCCCAAATTTTTTATTATTTTTTTTTGTTTGTTATAGATCTTAATTAAATGTTTAAAAATAAATAATTAAATATTTTACCAAATAATATCTTTTCTTCTATTTTCCTTTCATGAATTTTTTGAAATGAGAAGTTTGTTTTTATCTTTCAGTCGCTAAAAAGAGAATGATGTATTGTAAGAAGCTTCAATAACATCCTTGATCGTATCGAATGCGTTCAAAGGTGTTGAGCCAAACGTGAGTGCTCCCATAGGTGATTTCTCGAGAGAGCGTTTAAAGACATAGTGTTTGAAAGAAAAAGGAAGGGAGAGTTTAATTTTAATAAAATTTTATTAGACATTAAATTTTAATTTTGGCCTAACCATTGTTAAATTTTAAAAAATGTTGTTTAATATTAAATTTGTTTATTTATTATTATTGGTCTAATATGCCTCTTGACAATTTTAATATATACAATTTTGTTATTCGATAATTAAAAAAAAAAAAAAAAAAAATTATATACAATTACGAGTGAAAAATGGAATGATGAACTATAGCATACTTGAAACAATCACACCTTATGCGAAATCTAAAGCCACCAAGCTAGAAAAAGGAAGAAGATGCAAATTAATGGCTGTACTATACTCTTTTCTCCAATCTCGACCTCTAATTTGATGTTTCTTAAGACATTTGTATACCTTTGACTCGATTACACGTTAAGAGTTTTAACGAAAATCATTCATAAGAACAAAGGGGAAGATTACATATGTTCCGCTGGTTTTAAGCAAGATGTGTGAGACACAAGTTCTCAGAATGGCGTACCCGACTTGGTCAACACGGATCACTTGGAAGATAAGGAACAATAGTCCTCCGCTTCGATAGAGTCCTGTCATGTTTCTGGATATCCCACCATTTCCTAATTCTGTAATTCCAGTAATCCATCAAATTTCTTGGCTTAGAAAGAGGGAAAGTTTTGCTAAAACCACCTAAAATACCTCACAAACTTGGCTAAGGACTCGGATTCTACATAGTCGTTCGCTAGCTTTTTAGAAGTATCTTTATGCCTTACTTTATCATTCAAACATAATTGACCATCTCAGACAACCTAACATGTTTTAGAAAATAGGGTGAATGGGTTGTGGAAGAGAAAACCTGAAAGAGGATGTTGATGCTGCACTCTGGACAGAGCAGGAACCAACGTAGCTGGTTATGTACACGAAAGGATGCAGATACCATCCACGATCAGCTCTTCCCTTTTCTGGACTTCTTACGGACCCCTCCTCCTAATCGAACCGCGAGCATCATATAAAGAGTTGTTAGTAGCTGAAGACAGAAAGAGGCAAGTCCTCGTGCTGTATCGAACTCTTTAAAATCTTGAATAAGGAAGGAAATATGATAGAAACCAATATTCATACTGTTTCACTGATGCTTATGGAACATATATGAAAAAAATTGCATATAATTTTACACCCCAAAAGGAAAATGAGCGTTAATAAATCTCACATATCAGATGATGAGAAGATGAATGGCAGCTGAAAATGATTACATTTAATTTGAACACTCAACAAATGAAAGCTGCGCCAACTAACAAGAGTCTAGCAAGCAAAATATGAAAAGAACCTAAGATGGTAGTAGAGAGATCTTCATGAGCCAGCCGGGTTTTGCTTCAACAGGGAACATCGAGTTCAAACTTTTATAACACATAACTTGGACAGATTCTTTCATAGACACCTGAGGTTAAGACGTGGTTACATACACATGTAATACATTGAGTGAAAACAAACTAAACTGTGGATACTTCATTCATATATTGTCAAGAACTAATGTAACAGCTCAAGTCCATTGCTAGCAGATAATGTCCTCTTTAGGCTTTCCCTTTCGGACTTCCCCTCAAGATTTTTAAAATGTGTTTGCTAGGGAGAGGTTTCCACACCCTTATAAAGAATGTTTCGTTCTCCTCCCCAACCGATGTGGGATCTCACAACTAAGATCTCCAATGGCTTTTATCGCAACATAGATGAATTTTGCACATAAAACAGAACCATGCACCAATCAACTCAACAAGAAAATCTCTAGAACATCTGGATGATACTAATTTGCTACACACATCAACTATCGAGACGGCCCTTTTCTCAAAATGCAATGCTTATTCTTGCAAGTTCTCAGAAAATGAAGGAGATAATCCTAAGAAACATTGATAGTAATCAACTGAGCTGCCTACACTGCGCCAATCATAAAAGATTAGAACTAAAAACATTAAGAGTTAAGTGCTCAGGATTCACCTTTCTTCTGATTAAATTCGGCGCAATTGATGTTAGAAACTGTGTCCCCTAATCCACAATCAGGAAGTTCCTTTGTTCCTCCGGTGTTTTGATTAGCCGAGCACTGAAGATTTTCAAAGTCACAGCCACTGAAGCTTTGCCCATTCAACAAAACGCTCTCTCCACTTTTTCCATCGGCCCCTGGATGAAGGCAATACGGCAGATCATTGCACTGCACGTTACAGGGATTTATCATGTAACTACCAGACATATTTTGATTGGGAAGATCTGAATTGGCTGGTTTCTGATAAGGAAATGTTCCAATCTCCCCTTCAATTCTTCCTCTAATATCCACAAGCAAACATTTGAGCCTCGAAATCTCAGCCTCCAATGCAGCCTGACCTTGCAATCTCTTCAAAAGTTGCTGATTCAGGCTCCTCAATCTCACAACTTCATCTTCCAATGATGCAGCTCTTGCCTTCTTCTTCTCACGGTATTTACGAACCGCTTCGCGATTACCAAGCGGGCGTTTCTTAGTCTTCTTATCCACAGATTCCGCCGTGTCATCTGTGGAAACCTTTTCTTCGGTGGGGGAGGAAACAATTTTAGTATGAACATGAAAACATGTGTGCGTATGTGAATAATCAGGACCAGGAGGGTTGCAAGTATGAGCATGCGTGCAAGCATGAGTATCCTTAAGAATCTCATCGAAGAAGCTATCCATCGAGCAGCTACTCAGAAACTCAACGGCATTCGAACTCGAAAACACTTCAGGATTCGAGGATTCAAGCTCGCCGTCTTCCATTATAGATATCAGCCAACGCAGCTAGAAAAGCTCTAGAGAAATTTAATGGGAGGGGATAATAATGAGAATCGACTTTAAGTGATTATGAACCGAATCGAGATCCTAAACAATCAGGACAAATAGGGTTTCCGCACAATTCAATTGGCAGACAGAACCAAAAAAGGAAAAAAAAAAAGATCAAAAAATCAAACAAGCATCACAAACGAAATTCTCTGCAAAGATATGAGGAATTTCATCCACCAACGTTCAAGAAGAACACTAAATTTACCTCTACAGCAAGAAGAAAAGGCTGAGACCTCATAAAATGAATCAAAAACCTAGTGGCGAACTGCAAATCATGTTGATCGGGGGAATAATCAGATACCATCAAAAGAAGAAAATTTAATAATCGAAACCTAAACCCCAATCAAAAAATGACAACTGAACGGAAAATGATGGAAGAAATGATTCGACAATCGTAAAGAAAGCGACAGAGAATAGGATTCGAACCCTTTTGGAGAGGATGCTGGAACTTCAAACTTCGATCATGAAAAAGAAAAAAAAATAATAATAATATTTACAAAAGTTTTATCAAAGAGTAAAAAATCCCGACTTTCAAGACCACAAAATTATAACTTTTGGGGGGGCGGGAGAAAGAACATTGGCTTTCAGATTCTTTATTTTTCATTTTTTTTATTTTCCTAATAAAAAAAAATTATTAAATTGAACGACGACTTATCGTTTTGATTTTTTTTTTTTTTAATTACAGTCTAAACTGAACTTTTAAAAATTGTTTAATAATTAAAAAAATAATTGACTTATTTAGATATATAATTAAATTTTATGTTAAATATCAATTTTGTACATAAAATTGAAAATTCCATAATTTATTTGACATAAATTAAAATTTTAAAAATTTATTAGACATTTGGACTTATTCCTAATTTTTTTATTAAACAAACAAAAACATGTTTTTTTTTTTGTAATTATTTATTAATTTTATTGAACAAGATCTTAAATATATATAAAAAAAAAATAATACTATTATTAGCATTTGTTCATTTTTGTCGGCTTTTATTCATTTTAATCATCATATTTTCAAAAACGTTAATTTTGGTATTTGTATTTTTTTAAAACTAACAATTTTTTTTTGTTGATTTATTGTCTTTCCATTGTATTTCCTAAATTTCATCATTTATAATAAAAAGTGTGCGCTTATTTATTATTATTATTATTTTTTGTCTTCAATTTCAGTTGATTTTTTAAAATTTTCAATTAAAATCTAAAAAAAAAGAAAGACTATTTGATATGATTTATTTTATTGGTTTGACCATAATATATGAGAGTTGACTTTTAAGTTTTTAATAGATTTTTCCACCTCTCCCCGTTATAAAACTACGACAATACGTAATAGACAGAATATAAATATTTGTTAGTGTAAGCTTGAACTGTTAAAAATGATATTAGAGTCATACACTATGAGTGTGTTAGAGAGGATTATGAGATCTCATTGTGGAAACCTCTCCTAGTTTACGCATTTTAATATTATTATGGAAATTTAATGGTAAGGTAAAGCAAATATAAAAATTAATTAATTTTATATTTATATATTTAAAAAATGGGGGCGGAGTAGGAAATTGGATAGGTTCGGAGATGAGAAATACAATTCCTATCCTTGGCCCCATTTTTCGAACATGAGAAATTTCGACTCATATACTCTCAGCACCATAAATAGTGATCGTTAATTATTAATATAAAATGAGAGATTCTAACACAGTAGCATGCATGCCAAATATATTTTGTAAATATGGTTCATATATGGTAGTTTAACTAGTAAAGAAATATATAAATATAACTCATCATTGACTTAATTGCCCTTCAAACCAAAAATGAAAAGAAAAATAAAAAAGGAAAAATATTTACAAGCCATTTAAGAAATCACCTCAGCAAAGGGTGCAAAAGTTTTTATACTCATTGTACAGTTTTATTCTCTAAATTTTAGCTAATTTACAGTGTATGGTGAACGGAATGACGTATTAGAAGCTCGTTAAAGCTTGAGGATCTTCTCACGACAGTCTCATGTCGCACGCCCAAAGTCCGCTCCATCGTGCCGCCTTCACCATAGGGCTTGCCCAAAGGCACCCAATTCTGCTCCATCGTCGTAGTCGTCGTCACCAAGCAATGCAAGGTTCATCAAATGCAGATCAGAGCTCGAGTTTGGATAAACTTCATCGTCTCCATTCTCGACACTTTGTGATTCCTCCATACTTACATTCATGGAATTGATTTCCCCTCTTAGAATCTTCAGTATCTGGAGCGAAGGGCGTTCGTAAACATATTTGACCGATTGATACAAGTATCGTGTGACATGTTTGTGAGAACTGAGAAGATATTGTTGAGAGCAATACCTGACTAATTCTAGGACGGAGTCGAGACGCCCTCGTGATGCACAGATTTGCTGCAAGAGCCATTCTTTGCAACTGATCGACGTCGAATTTTCGCACCAAATTTGGATCGACTAGTTCATTTATGCTGCCACTCTCTATGATTGGCTTGGCCTGACATATCATATACATATACACTCTCTTCATTCTTGTTCGTTATGAGTATCATGAAGTTAAAATTGTGAGCTATGATGAGATAGAGGTCTTACCCACATAACCAAGCTCTTTTGCTCTTTCCAAGTCTCTGCACTGATTGCTCTTCGTCCCGATAACAGTTCGAGTAGAACTATACCGAAAGCGTACACATCAATCTTATTACTCATCTTTCCATACATGAAATATTCAGGAGCAAGATATCCAAACGTTCCGACGACGTTGGCTTCGATCTGAAACGATGATTCTGTTGGTCCCCAGATTGCAAGGCCAAAATCCGATAGCTGTGGCACAGAACATCAGTTAGGATTACGAATAGACGAGAAAGAATCAACGTCGATCCGATGAAGACTTTCTAACACTACCTGTGGTTCAAGTTCATCAGTGAGCAGAATGTTTGATGATTTGACATCTCTGTGTACAACAGGCCGAGGATATTCGTCGTGTAGGTAGCTTAGCGCCTCGGCAATACCGATAGCCAGCTTAAATCTCACCTCCCATGAAAGAATGCCTTTTTCTTGCTTTGTATCTACATATCATACAACTTTCTGGTCAGCATACTACTCCTGGCTGATAGTATTTCAGATTGTTGAAGAAAATATAATGTATCTAAGCCTTACCAGATAGATTTTCCTCTAAACTTCCTTGAGAAAAGAAACCATAAACAGATATCAACATATCGTCATCTACGCAGATACCGAGAAACGGAGTTATGTTCTTGTGATGTAATGAGGAAATAATATCAATTTCTTGAGAAAATTCATTCCATGCCTGTTTGGAAGAGTTCATTACTTTAACTGCAATTGGCTTTCCATCTGGGAGAATTCCTTTGTATACATGATTGCAACCGCCTTTCCCAATCAGGTTTTCTGTAAAGAAAACACAAATTTATGAGTCGAACGACAAGAGAACGGATTCAAACATCAATTTAAAGCGAGAATTAACTCGAAAACCTGAAGAGAAATGAGAAGTTGACGCTTTCAACACATCAGGACTAAACCATTTATAAGAAGATGACTTAGTTTTCAGGATATCCTCCAAGTCTTCTGGTGGTTCAGAAAAGTCGGATAAAATTCCAAGCCCTGGCTCACTTCTTGATGGATCATTTTTTTCTTTTGTGCTTAAATGACTCGGTGAGCGATCGGGTAAGTTCATCACCCATTGCACTACAGACATGTTATGTACACATGAGTTTTGTGAAATCTTTGGCATCGTTCGAAGCAGTGGCCAACCGAGCCCTAGCTCGGGATGGTCAATCTTCATTGATGTGTCTTTTTTGTTACTATTTCTTTTACTTTCAAGGATGCCTCCATGATGTTCATCCTTCAAGTCTTCACTACCAATACTATAAGAAGCAGAAGTCTCAGTCTCAGAGGCATCAAAATCAGATTGACTAGCTTGACTAAAACTTGGTTTTGGGTCATGATTCAAGCCTGTCATGTTGCAGTCAAATCCATTGACTTTAGTTTTGGTTTTCAACCAAAAAACAAAAAAACGATGAAGAAAGAAAGTCAAGCTCAAGCCCACCGCTAACAAATATTGTCCTCTTTGAACTCTTCCTTTCAAGATTTCCCTCAAGGTTTTTAAAACACATCTTAAAAACCTTGAGAGAAAGTCCAAAACGGACAATATCTGCTAGCGGTGGACTTGGGCGGTTACATAAATGGTCTTTTAAACCAAGTGCACCAAACCTGGTAGTTGATCATTGGTGGATCTTCTGAAGACAATTTTTCCATTGTTGAGAGCCAAAACATCGGTGGTTCGAGGCAGTCGCTTGACTAAGTATCTAGTTGTTGAAGACCATACCCTGCAAATGGTTTTTGTTAAGCCCAAACCAGAAAACAAACAAAAAACTACTGCCACCAATTCAAAAAAACAGCCCCAGCACCATAGCCTCTTGCCTACCCAAGATTAAATGGCTTGCTTGTTCCCAAAACTACAGCCTCAGCAGCATAGCCTTTTGCCTGTCTGACCAGAGTCTTCCTAACCGAACTTCCGGTCGATATCTGAGCAATAAGAGCTACCTATTATCGAATTTGAAGATAATAATCAGTAACAAAAACTTCATTTCATCCTTAGAATCATCCATAAAGGGCAATGAAATCCAAACCAAACCTTGTTTACATCACAAAGGCTTTTGTATCCTTCTAAGAATTCATCAAATATGGGCTTATCTTTTGATACACGATCTGTTTGGCAAGAGGGAAAAATCATATTTCAAAACTAAGCATTTTTAATAGTACAAGCCCACCGCTATCCTATATTGTCTTCTTTGGGCTTTCCCTTTCAAGCTTCCCCTCAAAGTTTTTAAAACGTGTTTGGTAGGGAGAGGATTCCACACGCTTATAAGCAATGCTTCGTTTTTCTCTCCAACTGATGTGGGATCTCACAATCCATCCCCTTGGGGGCCCAGTGTCCTCGTTGGCATACTACTCGATGTCTGGCTCTGATACCAATTGTAACTAAACAACCCAAGCTCACTGCTAACAAATATTGTCCTCTTTAGTTATAATTGGTATCAGAGCCAGACATCGGGTAGTATGCCAATGAGGACACTAGGCCCCCAAGGGGATAGATTGTGAGATCCCACGTCAGTTGGAGAGAAGAACGAAGCATTGCTTATAAGCGTGTGGAATCCTCTCCCTACCAAACGCGTTTTAAAAACCTGGAGGGGAAGCTCAAAAGGAAAAGCTCAAAGAGGACAATATCTACTAGTGGTGGGCACGGGCGGTTACACCATGTATAAAAGAGTGGTAAAGAGTGAAACCAGAGATTGGAAAGAAAATACACCAGAAGTTTGACAAACATGGATTACAATGACACAATCCCCAGGATCAGCAACTTTAACAATCGCCCAATTGAGTACGTCTCTACTATCGCCATTAATTCTAATCCCCACTAACACATTCTTCCTCTCCTTCTTCTTCCTCTTCTTCTTTTCAATAACCTCATAATCCTCCTGGTCAATTGTCATTTCGTTTCCTCCAGATTAATCTCCTATAATCTCCCAAACCCCACAGATTTTGAATCTTCAATTTCCAGGGCTTCAGCAGACAACCTCTGATTGAGAGATTCCCCACTTCTCAACCCCCCCACCATTACACACACTGCAACCAAAACCCACCAGAATCGACCAACAAAACAATCAGAAATCTTAAAACACCCACAGAAAAGAAAGAAAGCGCAGCCAGAACTTGTAGCTATGAGTATTTGCAAACAAACAGCAACCCATTAACGCATCCAAAAAGCTACCATTATTTCATTTCCAACAATAAATTAGAACAATAATTTCAATCAGAACCCTAAAACAAAGCAGAAGATATATAGAAGCCGACAAATGGGTTGTACCTAAAACTTGTACCGATTCGTCGTCCAAGCTCAGCATGATTTCAAACACCGATTTCGCCGATTAATCAGCCCGTACCCTCTAACCTACTGCGACCAACTAATACAGGGAGACGATAAAGAAATTTGAAATCCAAGGAGAAGTAGGGCACAAAACTGTCGTACACGACAATAATTTCAGGTAGGACGACGCCAAGCATGAATGAAAGAAAATAGGGTTCGAGGGTTTTTATATATTTGTTCGAATCAGTTGAGGAAACAAAAATGTCCGCAAGAGAGAGAGAGAGAGAGAGAAAAATCGCAGAGAATTTCGAAGGAATTGAAAGAGACGATTAGGTTTAACGATGAATGATTTCTTTTGATTCCTTCAAATCTTTTCCTTTTCTTTTTCTTTTTCATTTTAATGACAGTTAAAAGGGAAACCGGAAGTTTTCGCGGGAAACCTATGGTAGCCGGTCGGTTTGCGTGGTCCGCCATGAGCGGACTCCATGTTCTCACCGGCTATTGCGGGTTGTCATACTTGACCGTTGTCCGACGTGTCAACAAGATCATGTTTTTATTTATTTATTTATTAAAAATAAATTCCTATAATTTTAAATATTAAATTTGATTCTTATAGTATGATAAATAAAAAAAATAAAATTTTTTAAATGACCAAATTTATAATTTAATTATTTCTAATAATTTTTTGGGATATAATAAATAAAGACGAAAAAAGATGGTCAAAAGTGTTAAGTACAGCTAAAAAATGAAATAAATCTTTATTATTATTGGGACGTGTTTTCTTTAGTTGGACCTAACACTTTCGTTAGAATATCTGTTATCGGAAAATTTTGTAATTACCATATTTTCAAAAGGTTCTCGTATTTATTTTCATTAATAAAAGCACGACCTTTTCATTGAAAATATTATTGAAATTAATAATATTAATAACGATGATTCTACGATGTACGGACGTTTCGACTTATATTTAGATTGTGCACGCTTTAAATTAGCTAAAAAGCTTAAGTTTTACTCAACTCCTCATCATTGAGGTAGGAAATTTAATGAATAAATGTCGACTTTATTCAAATAATTGACTAAAAAAATTTAATTTTTTTCGTCAAATAATAACTAAATATTTCTATCAAAAAAAAATATAAATCAAAAAATAAGAACGTGAAATTACATCATTGCCCTTAAAGAAAAGAATAGATCCCCTAATTTATGTTTGATCTTAAAAATAAATTAAAAAATAATGCATAAATTCATACAAAAAGAAATAAATATTGGAATTGTTTTATTATTTTTCATTTAAGAAATTTCTTTTAATGGAAATATCTCAAAATTGAAGGCTTTATGTTTGGAAAATCTTTGTGGGGGAAGCAAATTTGTGTTGGGTCAATTTTGTGACCTACATATTTAAAAATAAATCCTTTTTTCTAGACAAGAAATAATAATAATAATAATAATAATAAATAAATAAATAAATAAAGAAAGAGGGAGGCTACCCACTCTTTAATTATTAAATTATGGGTCCCACTAGAGTAATGAAAATATAAGATCCCATATCCCACAAATTCTTCTAAATAATTTCAACATTAATTACATGAGGAAAAATAAATCATATCATATACTAATTATGTAACAATATGAAAGTCCAATGAAATAATTACATTAATATATTGATTTTTCAACTATCCTCGTTAAATTTCCGTTTCGAGGAGGGACGGTTTAGTCATTCCAAAAAATGTTAATTAAATTTTTGGTTTACTCGACCGATGGTATCTGAACCGACTAAAAAAATTAGACCACAGTAAAAATTTTAGTCAAAAAAATTTAGTGACAAATGATAAGCCCAAACTAGAGGTCCTTCTAGTTTCTTTGCAAACTTTCACCTAATTTAACAATAATTCCAACCAAAAGCGGGTTAGAAGGGTGAATAATTCTTAGATCAAACCTAGAATATATGATGATCACTCTTAAATACCAAAATGACTTTCTCCAGAATTAGCTTGATCATGATTAATCCAATGAATCGATTTTAGAATCAAATCTAAAGAAAAGTTTGAAAGAAACCTAACACCCGAAGGGTTCCAAAAAGATGGAAGCAATAGACGAATTCTAAGTTAAATTACAATTTAGTCCCTATAAGCTAGAATTTCGAAATTTAAAATGTGATTGATCTCGTATATTTTGAAATTGGGTTAGTGTTTTCAAAAAGAAAAAAGAAAAAAGAAATATATGGAAGCAATAGACGGGTTCTAGGTTAAATTACATTATAGTCCCTAGAAAGTTCAAATTAAGGGACTCATTCTAACATGTTAGACCTGGGACTAAATTTTAACTTTATCGAAACTATAGGGACCAATTCGTAAACGGGATTATATCATATGATATAAATACGAAGTGCTCGAAAATCAGTTCATATTACAAGCCTATAATATATTGTTCAGTCAACATTAATCCAAAGCCAGAAAAACCAAAGTTGCTAAATGTCAATCAATGGAAAGCTTTCTAACCAGCTCAGCTGGTTGACAGAAAAGCGTCCAAGAACATTACAATATATCGAAGCAGGACGACATACAGTGTCGAGCTACACGATACTAACTCGAGAATCAGTTTCATAGACGATATCTAAACTCGAACATATACTATCAGCACGCATATTACAAACAGATGAATTCATAACACTTTTTACAAATCATAGCACAGACGATGAGATTTGCTGCTCGCTCAATCGCGGGATTGCGTCAAGGACGATGTGAAAATATAACTCATATATAGTAATAGTTAGGGGGCTAAATGATGAGTAGTAGCTTACTAATACGTCTTCGAGTTCTAACCAGTTGTGATACGAACGACTAATTTTGCATCATAATATAGAACACGACTTCTGTGCCTTTCGCTTCTTTCGCTTCTTCCGCTTTGGAGGCTGGAGAACCACTTTGATCGCTGCATCGAACACGGCTTTCACATTCTGCATTTGGATCAAAGACTTGTTAAAAAGTGAGGAACTGGAGGAAGTATAGCAAGAAAAAGGTGGTTTTTTCTTACTTGCTGTGTTTTCGAACTGCATTCGATGTAAACTGGGGCACCGATTAGTTTTCTGAGTTCCTCCCCCTGCAAGAAGAGTTCAAATCGAACCGATGATGAACAAAACTACGATAATATCGAACTCGTAAATACAGGGCAACGTAGAAGGATACCTGGGACGTGGTAATGGGGACTACCCCGGGGTGTTCGATCAGGTACTGTTTATCTTCTCGAAGGTCTACAGGAAGCAAGTTGATACCCATGATTAACGATAATCCCGCATCGAGAGCACACGATAATATAATATTTATCAAAAGCACTCATTTTCAAGGAGAGGTAACGTAACAGCCTAAGCCTACCGCTACCAGATATTATTGTTCGTTTCGGCCCGTTACGTATCGCCGTCAACCTCACAATTTTTAAAATGCGTCTACTAGGAAGAGGTTTTCACACCCTTATAAAGAATGTTTCGTTCTCCTCTCCAACCGCTGTGGAACCTCACAATCCACCCCTCCCCCCCTTTGGGGACCCGGCGTCCTTGCTGCCATACCGCTAGGTACCTGGCTCTAATACTAGTTTTAACAGCCCAAGCCCACCGCTAACCGATATTATGCACTTTTACTCGTTACGTATCGTCGTTAGCCTCACGGTTCTAAAATCGTCCGCTAGGGAGAGGTTTCCACTCCCTTATAAGGAATGTTTCGTTCTCCTCTCCAACCGATGTAGGATCTCATAATCTACCCCCTATGGAGGCCCAACGTCCTTGCTGGCACACCGCTCAATGTCTAGCTCTAATACCATTCGTAACAATCCAAACCCACCGCTAGCAGATAATGTCCGCTTTGGCCTATTACGTATCGCCGTCAGCCTCAGTTTCAAAATGCGTCTGCTAGGGAGAGGTTTCCACACCCTTATAAGGGATGTTTCGTTCACCTCTCCAACGTGGGATCTCACAGTTTCTTGGATTATTTAACTGACTTCTACCCATTATACTGTCTTTTATGGGACAAGCTAGTTTATCAATACCCAAGAAGCCAAATACAGAACAATCATCACATTTTTGTTACAATACGAGTTGCTCGAGTAAAAGAAACGGTATCGACTATAACACGAGATCTTTGTTTCATGTAGTTCATCATGGTAAGTTACTTGTATTCAGAAACAATCATCAGCAAATGAACGAGAAAATTGTTTCAGATCGAACACTAAAGGAGAAAACTAGAAAGATAGTGAAGAATATAACCAAGCTTAGTCCCAACAAGAATAACTGGTACGCCAGGAGCATAGTGCCTCAGTTCAGGAATCCACTGTCATTGGAAAGAAGAGTATTAGCTAAAAGACGTTTAAACGAAAAGAATGAGACGAAGATAACGCATCGTAGAGCCTTACTTTCTTGGCCACATTTTCATAGCTAGCCTTGCTTATGAGCGAGAACGCTAAGAGAAATACATCGGCTCCACGGTAGCTCAACGGTCTCAACCTATTGTAATCTTCCTGGCCTGGTTCATGACTCATACACATTAGACTTTGAGCAAGAAAACATGTTATGTAAAGACTAGTTTTGAACACACCAGCAGTATCCCACAAGCCCAGGTTGACTGTACTGCCATCCACAACTACATTTGCACTAAAATTGTCGAAAACGGTCGGCACGTAATCCTGTTTCAGATTATACACCGTCATTGTAGATAGATAACGATTTCACAGAACTTAAGAATCAATCTTTGTTACAGTCTACCAATCAAGACACCATATTGAACAAATTATGAAATGGAAAACAGATAAATCGTTAAGATTTCTAGATAGCGAAAGTTTTCCCCAAATCACGCACGCACGCGCGGATGGAGATCTGATACCATGCTAGAATAGAGTTTCATGGAGGCTATGCTTACAGCTGAAAAGTACACTAAGAACACCAAAATGTTTGGATGGTCTCACTCAAAGAGGCAAACAATTGGTCATAAAGAGCATGAAATTGATAAACATACGAAAACAAAACCACATTCCATTCCATTTTTTGATGAATTTAGAAGTCTCCTCATGTGGGAATCTTCCTGCAAGAACTAATGAACTGAAAAGAGCCTGAAATTGCTTGAAAAACCCTTAAAACTCCAAGAGATTCATGTTCCACCAAACATGTAGATGGGAAGTTTCTTTGCTTAAGACACGAAAAACAACAACAGAATTACATTAGATTTGTTCATCAAATGAAAATTCACTTAAAAAAAACCAAGAATCCTAACATGGAGAAGACTAGAAAAGGGTTCACTGAAACAAAAAGCAAAAAGCACAAAAACCCAGAAAAGAAACACGCATTCTCAGCACAAAAAGTGCAGA